AGGGAAAAATTATATGTCTGTTTATTTATAAGTTATATTCTTGACATTTTCACTGAATATTAGGAATGTACAGTAAACTTCTAATTATCAGTGTGTGGATTGTACATTTGGCTAATCATCTCTGTGTATAGCTTATTTTTACACACAGAGGGGCTTGGGTTACGCTTTCTGGATCCTAAGATGGCTGAAATATGCAAGAAAACTACTATAAAGACAATAAAACAAAAGCTGTTTGAAAAATTTATAACGGAATTGGAGTCAGTTACCGGAAGGTAGGGACCTAGTGATTATATCCATGAAAGTGTTGCCAGGCTGGCCTCAGAACTGTTGCGGATTAAAACAACATAACAGGATTGTAGTAAAAGAATTATGACGGAAGCTATATACATTGTATATCAGACATAGTCTTCCATGAGTCTGGTAATGATGGTCATGGAGGAGACATCTTCCATATTTAGAAAATTATGATTTGTAAGGTTTCCATTTACAAAGTTTCCATATTGGAAAAAAAACAGCAAGTTCAAGATTTTTGACATGGTGTATGGTAAAAGAAGCTTTGATAACAACAGTTAGGAATTGTTTTAACTGTCGCTACAGAGTGATGCATGTGAAATGGATTTAAAGCATGTGACACATTTTCAGTGGTGAGGATCACAGTGAAAATTGTACTGCCATGGGCAGGAGCCCGAACGGTTAAGAAAAATAAGCGATCATTACAAACCATTTCTCAGAATAATGCCAATCGTGTAAAAAATAAACAAAGCAAAGCAATTTGTGAAGTTCTGTGAATGCACCAAACAAATTATTTTGGATTATCTGTGTTTTTTGATTATCTGTTTATCTTCTTCCCTTAATTATTCTGGATAATTAGGAGTTTATACCATATAGCTCTCTCATCACATGTAGAAAATTAAAATCAAATCAAATATTACTAAAACCTTACATACCATGTAGTGTATTGGAATATAAAATCGTGCATACAAACGAAACTGTTTACACTTTGAAGGACACTAATTCCAAATGCTTTTCGACCTCAAGAGGTCATCATCAGTGGTAAAACAAATTAATTCATGTATACAAATCAATTGTTTTGTATTATAAGAATTAATTTGTTTTGCCACTAATGAAGACCTCTTGAGGTCAAAACGCATTTGGCATTAGTGTCCTTCATAGTGTAAACAGTTTCGTTTGTATGCATGTTTTATATTCAAATATTACTAGTGTACAAAATGCTTAACTTCATGATTAACACTCAAAAAACTAAAAAAAGAAAATTCAAGTGTTGAAAGCAAAAATATAAATGTAATCGTACCAACTTCATGGTGTTTGTCCCACATGTTAATTCACTGTCCTATATGTGGTGCTCGTGCTGGAAATATGTTTGCTTGTGACATGGGTGCATAAAATATTGAAAGTTAATGAAATCGTAATGTTGAAACAAAACAAGCCAGACAAAAATTTAGCATTGAATTTAAGAACTACATATAGTCAGACTGTTACCAGCTGCAATCTGGCTTGAGCCTTTGAACACGCTCTTAGTCAAAAGGGAACCCAGTGAAAGCTTCCGCACTGTTGGCTCTTAGTCCCATGTTTCAGGAAGTTCTGTGGTGCTCCTTGGTAATCCTAAGTTTTTGCAGTACTTTTATTACAGAGATGTTGAGGTCGCCTGCACTTTGGTGTAGACCAAACATGTAACAAGTAAAAGGTGAAGCTTACGCGGCTACCGAAGTTGATGAAATACTCTCAGCGGTCGAAAGCTTTGTTAAATAAATCAAAAATAAACACTGCCACCATATATGAGATTATAAACAATGTTCCTTTTGTGATATTTGTTTAATTTATCAGAATTTTTCAGGTATTTACTTGACTAGAGTTGAATTCAGTCAGTGGTTTAATGTGGTCATGTCTGTTACAACACCACACTAAGCTGTTTTACAAGTCGGATTGTTGGTCCCCCTGCCCTCATATCGCAGAGCGGATGACGTAGTGCGTGATGGGACCGATGCCAGCCTCCGATAGAGATTCAGTCTCTCTTTTGATTGTACCGGCAGCGAAAAGGCTGTAATTGCGTGCACGGATTTTAACTGCTGTGGAATTCTGGGAAAACTTGTTGCCGTTCGGTTCAGAATCTCAGAATCTCCTGACCTCCCGTCTCTATCCAAAACCAAACAATTACAAAATAAAATATAATTTTAAGAGTTGTTATTGGTGTGAAACATTTCCCTTAACTGTAAGCGTGAACACCCGGAATTTGACCATAGATTCAAAGTCAGATTCAACGGATGGGTTCATAAAATCATTCAATACAAACAACTGTTTACAATTGAAAGGAATCTAACGCCAAACGCGTTTTGACCTCAAGAGGTCATCATCAGTGGTAAAACAAATTAATTCATGTATACAAATCAATTGTTTTGTATTATAAGAATTAATTTGTTTTGCCACTAATGAAGACCTCTTGAGGTCAAAACGCATTTGGCATTAGTGTCCTTCATAGTGTAAACAGTTTCGTTTGTATGCATGTTTTATATTCAAATATTACTAGTGTACAAAATGCTTAACTTCATGATTAACACTCAAAAAACTAAAAAAAGAAAATTCAAGTGTTGAAAGCAAAAATATAAATGTAATCGTACCAACTTCATGGTGTTTGTCCCACATGTTAATTCACTGTCCTATATGTGGTGCTCGTGCTGGAAATATGTTTGCTTGTGACATGGGTGCATAAAATATTGAAAGTTAATGAAATCGTAATGTTGAAACAAAACAAGCCAGACAAAAATTTAGCATTGAATTTAAGAACTACATATAGTCAGACTGTTACCAGCTGCAATCTGGCTTGAGCCTTTGAACACGCTCTTAGTCAAAAGGGAACCCAGTGAAAGCTTCCGCACTGTTGGCTCTTAGTCCCATGTTTCAGGAAGTTCTGTGGTGCTCCTTGGTAATCCTAAGTTTTTGCAGTACTTTTATTACAGAGATGTTGAGGTCGCCTGCACTTTGGTGTAGACCAAACATGTAACAAGTAAAAGGTGAAGCTTACGCGGCTACCGAAGTTGATGAAATACTCTCAGCGACAAGCCGCATCAGATGGCTGAATGGTGCTACTGCCTGCCGTCCGCCGCCAGTTCCCATCGGCGAGCGCGCTACATAGGACCAGTTTCATTTCGCAGCTGCCCTGAGGATGAGAGCAGAGATGTCTCTTGAAACGTTGGCAGAAGAAATGGTTCATTCGCCATTCAGCGACCTGACGCGGCTTGTCGTCCGAGAGTCTTTCATCAATTTAACAAATAAATTTGCAATCCCAGAATTTATGAAGATGTGTTCTGTTTGCTTTCCAGTTGAGATGGATGACACTGCCCCAAGATCATGCATCAGGGTGAAGAATCCACCTGGTGGTCAGTCATCTGGAAGTTTCTGGTGAATGTCAGTGTATCAGATGAGCTTCTGCTTGTGCGTGTGAAAATACCAAATGCCACTTAACCAGGGAAGTTATTTTTATTTTGTCAACCGTTCAGTGAATTTATTGTAATTATTTTATTTTTCCGTTGTAGGTATTATTATTATTCTCCTCTCGTTATCATAATTCCTATTATCATTATAATCTACTGTAATTGGCATTTTGTTTTCTTTGTATTTTATTATTTAATGATGAACATTTTCTTTTATGTGCAAGAAGAATTTGGGATTTAGTTGAAGTGGAAATCATTATCCATATGAGAATCAAATTGATTTGAATTTATTTTTATTTTGGCAGCATTATGAAAGTGGGACGTAACGGTCCTCCACTACATTTATGTGCGTTATGGATGTTAAGAAGGAATTTAAAGGAAACTGGCTGTTTTGTCAGTACTGAATCCTGAGACTTGGATTGCATGTTACATCTAAAGAAATTGATTGTTCTAGTAATTACTTGTACTGATGGCGTCTGACGAAAGGCTAGAATTGTCGAGAAAACGTTCCTCTTCAAAATTTTATTTGTTTTTTCCCAAGTTAGAGCTTGCCTTAATACAATAACCTTCAAAGACTATACTAGATTATCCTTTCAGACAGAAATTTTGAAGAATTAGCTTCAAAATAGCAACTTTCCCAAATTTAATGCTGTCTCTTTTTAATGTTTGGCCATGTGTAAGTCAGAACTTGGATTTAAAGCAATTATTATGTTGCTTGAATACTTTATTTCAGCATGGAAAATAAGTACTAGAGAGAAATGGTTTGTGTAGAATGAAGAGTAATATTCTGCCATTTTCAAAACATATTGACTAGGAGATGAAACAAAGCTTTAAAATGTTTATGTTATGCTCCTGGGTCATGCTTTTATATTTAAATTTTAAACACTATGATAACTGCCGCAATACACGAAGAGACATTTTTATTCTCTCATGAATAAATGACTTATGAACATAACTCACAAATGTTCTGTGAAGGTATTTCTAGACTTGGTAATTAACATCTTTCTAAAACAACAAATAATTTTCAAGATTACTCGAGAGTCCCCCCTTTCCTAGGCTGCTGTTGACTGTTCCAAACGCAATAGTCAGACTCATACAAGTTGTTAAAAATTTAATTTCATTGTATTAATTCATAGACGGACTGTTCAAAAGGTGAGAGCCTTATGAGAAATGTTGATAACTATTCATATTCCTCCTCCTAAGAATATAATTTATATAAAATGTAAATGTTATCATGATAAACATTAATGGATTTTCTCCATGGAATGGACACACATTTTAGGAGTTGACTCTTATTAAAGCATTGTTTTAAATATATTGATTTTCACTTATATTCACTTTGCCACTTACAAAATAATCAATATTAAGCTACAACATAGCCTATTGAAGGTTCCAGGTTATATCCCCAAGTGTGGGTCAGAAGCTTTTCTGTCAAACAGTGAAAAGGTTATAAACATGTGAAAAGTTTTGTAATGACCGAGGAATTTAACAAATAGTTTAACGTCAGTATCACTAAATAATGGAAGTAAAGAAAGATAAGTGTATTATGCTTTATAGCACAAACTCTTTTACTTGTGGTAGAAAATGAAATATTAAGTCATAAAAGTTGAGGTTAGCCAGTTCAGCATCCAAACATGGCGTAGACATTTTTAAGTGTTTTAAGGGAAGTAAAAAAAATTTCATTTTTTGTAGTTACTTTTCTAATCTAATAATGTGCAGACTATTTTAACTAAAAATGTTGACTGAGGTATTTATTAATTCATCACAATTAAAAATGAACATGTGTAGATCATTGCGTGAACTGAAATTTTAAATCAGTATGCATTGAAAAGCTTCACCCACTGAATTTGTTTAAATATTCTAAATTTAAGCTTGTAATTCGTGTTCACGCCCGGTTCTCGTGTCTTCCATATGAATGCATGAACCTTTAGGTCAGTCTGCAGAAGAAAGCAACTTTTAAATTTTTGCTGCTCAGAAAAAATAATTTTATGCTTTCAAGTTGGCATCTCTTATTCTTTTATAATTTTATGAGTCATAGAAATATTGCTATATACTGAATGTTATGTGGCGATTAACTATTTGGGTATATTTGCCTGTGGATGAAAGTTTGATTTGAAGCTTTCACAGTGACGTAACTCAATAAAAAAAATTCTAGGGTGATCAGCCATGCCAGATGGTTAAACGATGAAACCGATGTTTTAGGGACCATCTCTATCCCCAACATCAGGAATGTTACAATAATATATTGAAATTACAATTTGAATTCCAGTCTGCCTTTCAGAATACAGTGCTTGAGTAGTTATGTTAACAAATCATTTCGGCTTTCAAAGCTAGAAGCTGATCTGTTTGACTCTGGAGAAGTAATTGTTACATTTTTCTGTGAATTTTTTTAATATGAATGTTGTTTATAGGAGGGTTGATATTTCTGTTCCAAAACATTTTGTGTCTTGATATGTTACAAATGCAACATTACCATGTGACCTGCTTGTGATATTTAAATGTTTTGGTCAAACAAACTTTAAGGACAGTGTTCAGAGATTCCTGAATGTGAGTGGAGGTTTATTACTCGGCACTTCGTATTCAGCTTGCTATAAAATTAAGACTAAATCTACTTCTTATGTAGCTAATTTGAAAGAAGCAAAACACTGCCTCTTTCTATACTATATTGACACAACATATGTATGCCATTATGTAGCCCCATATCCCTTTGCTATCAATGTAATGCTGTAAGTAATATTTAACTATTTATTTGTGTAGTAATAAGATGGCTGAACACATTAGTGTACTTATTGTTTCCGTATTGCAAAAATTGGGATGTGAGTTTTCCGTAAGAGCAGTGAACTCAAAATATGTCGTCATGTCTCCGTAAGAAGAAATGAGATGTGTTCTGTGTGAATAAGAGACAGATCTTCCCCACGCCTCTTTGTTCAATCTGTAAGTGTTCATGTTATCAAGCTTAAGAGTGAATTGTTTAAATGGAGTTTTCAAATTTTGTATTTACTTTGTTACAAGAAAAAGTACGGTGCTTATGAAGTTTTGATTTATTGTAGAAAATTGTGACAGTTACAAAATATGTTTAAGTTGCTTGGTTCTGTTCTCTGTATATTCATTAAAGCAGAATATTGTGAAGGTTAAATCTTGTTTCCCATTCCATATGTCTTTTTTTGGGGGGGGGGGGATAGAATGGATTGTTTGAAGTTTTTTCAGTGTTATCTTAATGGAACTATGCTATACAATGAAAAAGTTTAGAAATACGTAAATGAATGACATGGCCATTATTTAGCTGTTATAAAAAATAATTGTTCTTCTGTTGATACTACATTAGTGAGTAGTTTATCAATATTCCAAGATGTCAGAAGAATTAATGAACTTTAACTACTTCTTACATCACATGACTACGCAATTTTCAACTTTTGTGCACACAAGGACATTGAAACATATCTTAATCAGGCTATAACATAATCAGTATCACGACATCCAATCGATCAAACATGCGCTTCTGTTACAGTTCTTGAAAAGAAGGTACATTAAATCTTATATTATTATTGTACAAAAGTGTCAGTTATTTTCTTAATTACAAGGAATGTATCTCGCGACTAACTCGGAATATTAGTTCCTTGCCTTGTCGTCTTTGACTTGAAGTGTGTTCCCGCAGCAAGTAGAAAGTCCGAATTTTCTTTTATCCAGGGTAGAGATTCTTTGATTGATTCAATAATTTTATGCACTTAGTTTTATGAAATGACACTCTGATCACACGCTGAAGAGTTTATGTACGCACATGTTCAAGTCAGTTGAAAGTTCATGTACAAAGTACCCACTGCCAATGCGACAGGTGCTGTCAGCTTAGAATGTGAATTGAAGGAGCAAATTTCTAACTGCCCACATTTTGTTTGTGTGAAGAAAGCGTGGATAGCTTCATTAATAATGTCTTGTGATGATCGGCATGACCGTCCTGGATTTGTTGCTCTCGAATTGCAGGTAGCCATTGCAATCATTAAATGACTGCAGAAGAAAGAAAGAAAAACATTTTTTGGTTTAGTATACTTGATGTTCTACGGTCTCAGTTTTGGTTACTCTATTTCTAGGTGAGACTTAAACTATTATTATTGTATGTACTTAGGAAAATAACTCAAGTTGTTTACTCAGATATTAGATGGGGAAATACTGAAGTAATTTTTAGTTTTATTTCGTTATGCAAAACAGGATCATGCTCTGGTTTATTTTATGTATGATTCCTTCCAAATTTCTTCCTCACGGTCTTTCGTTTATTGGCATTCAAAAAGTGTAAGAACTTGTAATTGAATGGTGCAATCCATTCATTTATGTATTTGGTTATGCCATAAGCAACATAGATACATTAGTGTAATCACTTTACTAATTTTCCTTAAGAATTATTTAACAGTACGGAAACTGTGGCATTATAGAAGAAAGTTTCACGCAGTTTTCCATTAATTCTGGTTTACACATTAAACAGTTTTTATTAATTATAGGTAATTTACAATGTTTTCATCCATGTTCTTGGAATCAGAGAAATTTTCTGATCGGGACGTATTACGGTTTAATCTGGGTTACGCTTGATTGTATTAACCAGCTTTATGACACGGATAATGGAATTTGTAGTTTGCATTTATAACAGAAATATTTTTTCAAATTTAGATGATCCAGTAGTCCAGCTGGTTCTTTACTACACAAGCAGTTTTTGAGGTTATGTGTTGGAAGAGGTGTGATAATTTGTGAGTTTGTAGAAGATGGGGGTGAAAGCTCGGAGTGATAGTTTCTCCCTCTGATGTAATACGTGCAAACCATCTCCTAACGATGCTTTGTTTTACTTGATTATTGATATTAGTGAGAAAATGACCCGTATCGATAGGCACTCACCTGCATCTGTTCAAATCCAGTTTTGAATGCAGCATATCAACGATGTGTCCAATTTTTGTTCCTTCTTCCACACATTTGAGAAACGATAGAACGTTCCAACATTTAGCTGTGTTTAGCAACACTGTAATAAGAAATTGAAACCTTCAACCAAACAGAAATAAACTTGGAAAATTATAAATAAATACAGACTTATTGACAAACTATTTCATTCATCTAAATTTTTTTCATTCTCAGTGCGCTCTAAAATAATTATTTGTACATTTTCATTGATGATTTACCACCACCACCACTAAATTCCGCTAAGTTTCTTACTAAATTTTTTCGTATTTCCCTAAATCCTGCATCCACACTCACTTTGCACATTGCAGATTTCAAGACTTTGCTCTGTTGTCCTATAACTTCCTTTTCGATGACATTAGTTTACATTTTTGCTTTTATGACTCTGGCGTTATTAGAACATGAATATGTTCTCGTGCGCTATACTCAGTTATAATTACCACAGGTTTTTAGGGTTATTTTTCCTTGTTCGTGATCATTCTGCAACTTTTATATCTACTTCCATTCTGTTCATTGGCATTTTAAACTTCTTTGATTGGTATATTTTGACTTAATTGTACTAGAATAATATATTTTTTCATTGCATTTATTCTTTATCAAAAGGTATGAAAATAATACAATTAATTATCGTAGTGAGGTACTGTAATGTGGTAGATTCTTAGTACATTGCAGATTTTTAACTGTTCGTTAACTCTACACTTTTGAGCATATGAAATTATCGAAGCATTCACGCAAATATGTGAAATGGAACTTTCCAGCATTTCGTGGAATTTGTTATAGGCAGTTTCTAGCAATATTGGGCTTAATCTTGAAGCTGTAGTATTTTATATTGTCTGTAGTTACTTTTTAATTTGTCAAAGTTTTCTTCACAGACAGAGCTATAAATCCCTTGGAGTCCTTGCATCCAGGCATCAAATTCGTTCCTGCCTTCCTCCGCTTTACACGACGTATCGATTATGTCTTGGGCACATGAAAGGGCATCTGCACTAGCACTGCAACATATCCCATGGAGTTTAAATAATTCATGCAAAGGCAAACATTAAACTTTCTTGATTTTAGTGCAGCTGCGTTATGTGTCAATATGTTATAAAGCCAGAATTTATTTGTTGTGATCGGAGACGGCCCCACTTAATGGTACCTGCACCTTGTCGTGGTGGTGGGGCTTGAGTACCTCAGGGATCCCAAGAGCTATGCTGGTGTCCCTAGCCAGATTGGTAGAGGGGGAGAGGTCAGACTAAGACAGGTACCTTGGTCCTCCAGGTTGGGGGTTGGTCGCAAGGCTAACAACCTTGCACTGTAAAAAGGAAGATGTTTTGAAACCTCGGACAGATGGACCTAACAGAGGACCGAACGGAAGAGAAGAATTGAGGAGGCCATGAACTGAATACGGACCGGGAGCCATAGAAGAAGAAGAATGGAGACGGCACAATCATAGAATTTTTAAAAGTTGAGTTGGAAACGTACAGTATCATCTTGCAACAGTTTTATAAGCATTCTTTACACAAAATGTATTAAATGAATTCCTAATGGGAAAGTTCTATCTGCATTTGCATATTAATCTCTGTAACTACTGATTTTGAAAAAATTTGGTTCTGTGCCACACATTGGATTTAATTTGTATTCGTTTTGGGCTGGAGATTGGATCTTGGGGAAATTGGGTTGAAAGTTGTGGATTGGACTCGTCTGACTCAGGATAGGAATCTGTGTTCTCTTGTGAACATAATAATGAATCTTCTGTTTCCATAAAAGGTGTTACCCAGTCACTATACGGACTGAGTCCCACGTCTCACAGTTATAACCCTTACTTTAGATGCTTTTGAAGTCGTACATTAATTTTTATCAAAAACAGAGTCATTGTTTCAGAGATTTGAGGTTTCACTGGGGTCTTCTGAGTAGTGACTATACTTAAATATGGCATAGATAATTAAACTTTTTATGGGTATTACAGAAAAGACAAGCATTTTTACCTGCACAGATCTTTCACATCACGCTTCTCACAGTATTTGGGTGCTGTTGGGTCAAGGTGACAAGCTATGTTCGTGTATACATCACTAAAACATTTGTCAGCGAGATTTGGCAAACAGTTCGCTTGCTCATTGTATATATCTTCATAATCGTCATCTTTGTCACCACTGATGACTGGCAGTGTACCCAGTAAAATAAATTCTGAAACATTGGAAGTGCTTTTAAAAACTGGATAGAAGTACGTGGGTACAAACACCTTCGTGAGCACTTTGTTTTATTTCTTCCTGTCAAAGTAAGAGGCCGTACTGAATGACTTACTCTTATATATGTATTTGTAAAACAAAACATTACGGTATTACACTTTATCAGTTTCTGAACCTTATTACTAGATACATCATCCTAACAATAATAGGCATCAAGTAAACATGCAGCTGCTTATTATGTAATTTTTTCATCTTCAGCCCAAGAAAATGCTTGTGCTTTTTCTTATTTGAAGATCTGGGTGTTAGAAATTGGTCCAGAGGTCATTTATTAAGAGTTCTTCTTAATAATAATCATGTCATTTAATGGTACATAATCCAAACAGAATTCCCTTAGATACATACACAAAAAAACAAACATTTCTACGAGAACTGATAAAACTTTTGTATTGTACCTGACTTTAGTAGTCCCTGCAGATAAAATTTAAAGCAAAAGTATTCACTAATTTATATTATTATGTATGAAAAGGAAGATAGGATATAATGTAATACGCTATCCAATTTCTTGTGAATCCATGCTTTTGTGTAATTATTACGTCAAAAATCAAATTATTGTACTGAAATCTGATAAGAACTTGGCTTTTTTTGAGCCAGTAATAGGTTTCTTTCTAATTCTTTTTATTTTTTAATATCCAGCAGTACAGCACTCCCTCACCTTTCACAGGAGTTACGTTCTCCAAAACCCCGATGCGCGAATTGTGGGAAAAGTGGGGTTAGGAGATTCAAAGACACGTGAAACATGATATTTTTATCATTAATTATTAATAAACATTAAAACAATAGTGTTGTTTGTTGGGATGACGTCAGCGTTCCTGGCTGAAAACTGAGTATGTTAGAACAAGTCATTTCTAATTATTACGATAAATACAGTCAAAATATATCATGTATCTATGTTGGTACTGGTTGGTATCACGATAAGTCTTCCACGAATAAGCAAAACTGCAATGCACAAACCCGTGAACGAGGAGGGTTTGTAATTCAACTAAAGGTCACTTGACCTCACGTCGAATTGGCGAGAAATCGGTTTCGAACTGTTTTACACCACGAATCATGGGGCGCAAACACACGATAGCATGGAAAGATCCTGCCTCTCTGTTCGTTGTTTTCACCTCTAGAACTACTGAACGGATTTCCGCTAAACTTCATATTGAGGATGTACACCAAAAGTTATTGGTCAGGTTTCATTTTTATTTATATGGGTGTAATACATCAATAATCAAACACTAAAATTTGCTCACCCTACAAACATTTACTACACAATATATAAAATAGACCTGTTTAGGAGCCACGAAAACATTTCCTATATAATGCATATTCAAGGTCGTAGAACGGAGACATTTCGAACGCCTCAACTGTAAATACTTTGAAATTTTAGTGCGTGTCGCCAGATTAATTTCCGGATATCTATTACCTTTATTCTACCTTTGGGAAATTACGCTTAGTCTGTAAGTTAGCCCCTTGTTTTATGTAGATGTGAAGCACTTTTACTTAGAAGGAAATAACATACATCGAGAGAATTTGATGGAAAATGTGCTGAGATTACTTGACCTAATAGATAATTAACTTCAATACTGCAGTTTAATCTTAATCTGAAATTGATAGAGTGACCACATCGAAGACAATAAGATCTGGAGGACGAACAGGAAGGAAGAAAAAGGAAATGTTGGGTAAGTTTTTAAAAAAAAACTTTAAAATTGATAGAGTGACCACATCGAAGACAATAAGATCTGGAGGACGAACAGGAGACCAACGCATAAATGGAATAATATTAAAATATTTATTTCAGAAACATGGTGTGAAAATGATGAAATTAAGTTGTGGGCTATTGTTAAAATAATTAAAATTATGATTTAATAGAAGCTAGGAAGTCCTTGAACAGATGGATCTGTCTGGTTTAGGAAGTTTAAGCAGTCGGGAAAACTGGGTTCCGGAACAGGTTTATGTAAGGAGTTACGAGATTTTTATCCATATTGTAATATCAATGTGTGTACTTACGTGCGATTATAAAATGCAGAGACCGTATTATATCCATCCACTTCATGATGGGAAGAAAAAGTGAATGAGCTAGCCGAAAGCGGAAGTTTGCATCGGAGTTCTGCCACAATTTCCTGTCTTGACTGATTGTACATTATCACAGGAAAAGAATTATCTACAGACTGCAGGGGTCGTGTAATATGAGGGGAAGTAAGAGTCGATTTTCGATTAAATATATGACGGGGGTCTATTAATGAAATCGACTGCAACAAAGTAAAGATTAGGAACAGCGTAATAATTCTGGCGGCTAGTTCACTCTGTTTTTACGTCTGTATTTTAAAATTGTGAAAGTTAAATTTTGATTCTCTTATAAGTTCATAAAACGGATCGAACGAGCAAAAATGTTAAATATACAATGTTATGAAAACGATTTCAACGGTTCTCAGTTAGACTATAAAATGAATCCGTATTAACATCTTTTTTTAACGAAAGGTGGAATTTTAACACCTTCATACGTATGTGCTGTGTTACATGACAAGTAATTCCGTGAACTACACATCCAATCTTGTTTACCTTACGTGAATGTTTCTTAGACTCCTTCTGCAAGCTGATAGGATATCTATACAACCTACTTCGATTACTAGAGTCACTTAGCCTAATTTTTATTAGATACAGATACAGTCTATTAATTTAGAAGTATAAGTTCATCAACAGAGATATGTATGAGTAAACAAGAAATTTAAATTGCATGCTATTGGTGGGTAACAATATCATTTTAAGGGAAAGCCTGTTGTGTAGGTTCATTCAAATGTAGCAGGCTTCAACTTGAGTTTTTAAGTTTAGCAACTGATCGCGGTATTCAATATATTCACAGCTAACCTCCTTACCTGGAGGCCGTCCCTCCATCCGCAACCCGAGGACGCGCCATGCGGTGATACGAAGGGACCCCCGCCATACATGTAAGATGAGTGAACTGCCGCGCCATATATTAGCGAGGGCACGAACTATTGTTAAGATTAATTGAATTGCCGCGCCATATAGTGGCGAGTACATGAACTAATGTAAAGATAAATGAACAGCTGCGCCATATACAGTGTGTTCAAAAAGTCACGCAACCTTATGGAGAAACTATTTATTTCACAAAGTGCTGGAAGTGGCCGCCGTTCTGTGTTTCACACAAGTGGACACGGTTAATCATGTTCTTGAAGACCCTTTGCAATGGATCGACACAATTCTGAATGTTCGCTTGCAATTCCTGAATGCTGTGCGGATGAGTTGAGTAGGCGACATCCTTCAGGTACAACCACAAGAAAAAGTTGGGAGGGGGGTGTTACATCCGGAGATCGCGCTGGCCACAACCCCCTTGAGATCAGTCGGTCTGGAAAACACTTTTCCAGGTAAGCCATAGCGTTTCTGGCTGCATGGGCTGTGGCATTGTCCTGTTGAAGCCACGTGATCTGCTTCTTATCTGCCGATAACGTGTTGACAAATTATTGCAACATCGTAATGTACCGGTCACTGTTCACTGTGTGTTGAAAGAATGTCATGAAGATGCGACTACGTGACATGCTACACCAGACACTAAGTTTCTGTGAGTGCAGAGGCGACTCCTGCAGCTCATGTGGGTTTTTCGCGGCCCATAGTCGAGAATTCTGGGCATTGACGTACCCATCGAGAAGGAAACACGTCTCGTCGTAGCCGCATGATGGAGGATTTGTTTGGAGCAACTGTTCCGTATTTTTCTGAGAAGGCCTCCTGCGTCCTGGCATAACTGCTGGACCGGATGTACTGCGTGACAATAAATATACACTGCTGCAACGTGTACCCCATGGCTACTCAGTGTTCTTCACCACCTGGACAAAAAAAATACATGTGTTGAACAACATGCGTTCCCCCATAAGGTTGCGTGACTTTTTGAACAAACTGTATTAGCGAGGGCATGTAGTAATGCAGATAAGTGGACTACCGCGCCATCTGTTAGGAAAAACTTGGAGAGCGAGAGAGTTAATACCTGCCTGCGGACTAAAACAATGGGGACATCTCTGCGACACACGTGCTTGTTTAATTGATGCAGTGCAACTTTGGTGTGTATAATGGTTGAGTGCTGTTTTTAGGGCTGATCCATGTTTGAGTGTGTGATATATGATACAGGAACTAAGGTGAGCTGTTCGTGACGAGTTACTTGGAGTAATATTATAAGAAAGTTTACTCATTAAGGGCTATTGATTGTAAAGAGACCTCAAGATATCATTGTGACTTATTAATACCTTTCCCATGAGGAGCAGTAGTTGTTAAAATCCTAAATCTTAAGTTTGCAGCCGGATTTTACAAGGACACTCCATTTGAATTTCAGATTGGTATATCAACAAGAAATCAACGATCTCAATCTCAGGTCAACCAACCATAACATATAGACTGTATCCTGGATCAGTGGCCATACCAAACATTGTTTTTGTTAACACTGTATTACCTGATTATTCAGGGGTGGCATACCTTGTATTTGAAGTCAACTAAACTCACCAACACAAAATATCATTTTTAAAACTCAAAATGAGTCTCCTTAAGGACCTTGCTCTCAGGATTATGGGAAATCATGTGGTAAAGAAATATTCCGAACCAATAATGACACATCAACAAGCAAGAGAGATAGGATGACAGTTGAGGGATCTAAACAAGTATGGAGTCAGACTTGCTCTAGGAAATTCCCTTCAACTTCAAAATCTGATACTCCCACCTGCTCTTCAAAAATACAATAAGAATAATACATTTGAAATAGCCCTTAGGATTCAACTGTGCATAGTCCTTGGTTGTGTTGAATCCTCATACACATCTTTCAGTTCCGCATATCATTTAATATGTGAATTCTTCCTTCATTTTCTGAGGACTGAAACAGATACATTAGAAGGTTCAGCTTTAACCGTCTTAAATGAATGCACGAACAATTTGAAACATTATCAGCTCAGTGAAATGGAGTTATATTCAATGGAAGCTCTTCAAGTTTGTTTGAGTTTAGTCCCAAACTTTAGTCTAGGAGGAATCATCAAAATTGATCCAGGAGCTGATTTAACCAATCCAGCTATCCAGCAGAACTTGCGAAGTCAGGTGAGGGAGCTCAATGCATTACCATATCAACCCTCTATTGCATTGTTCAATTTGATTGTCAAATCTTGTCTTTATTATAACAGCTTGAAATCAGACCTTGCTAGATTAATATTCACCTTTGGGATGGGATTCGCAAGGAGTCGCAGGATGACAGAAAGGGCTTGGACAACAAGATGGACAGCTCTAGTTAATAGATATCCAGCTGAGTCGCAATTCTCATTTCTTGCTGAAGATGCTCGAAACCTGTCAGATTTAATTCAAATCCTTGCCCGTGATGGATTAGATCTTCCAAAGTTAGTTGCAGAATATTTGGGTTATGTAGAAAAATTCTTCCCTGAGGATCCCATAATGAAAAAATTGGTTGACCAAGCCGCCCATAAAGGAATGACTGTTCCAGTAGCAATTACAAAAGCATTGTCTTCTTATCCGACCTTTGGATGGATGCACTTGTTAGCTACAAATGCTGTACTTCAAAGTGAGGTCGAGTACCTGATGAAATATTTTCATCGGATCAAAGGGGATGTTTATGCGGGCATAAAATATCCTGGAATTGCCAACAATGTCAAGAACCGTGCATACCTTTGTGTCAAACTGCAAATTGAGATTGCAGGAGATGAACAACTTAAGAAATACAATGGGATTGGAGGTCTGAACAACAAAACACAAATTCCATTAAGGATTCTTCTAGATAAACTGGTAGCTGAGTATAAGAAAACCATTCTTTATGAAGAGACTCGGAGACCATCCTTAACAGTGTTAACTAAATACAAAGACCAATCTACCTCAACTAAAGCAATGAAGGAACTTCTTTCTCAGAATCTTTTGCCAAATGATACTGAAGAAGATGAAGATGAGGTTGATGCAGGAGGGATTGGAGGTGTGTTCAAAGAGCAGCCTTTCAATGGATCGACACAATTCTGAATGTTCGCTTGCAATTCCTGAATGCTGTGCGGATGAGTTGAGTAGGCGACATCCTTCAGGTACAACCACAAGAAAAAGTTGGGAGGGGGGTGTTACATCCGGAGATCGCGCTGGCCACAACCCCCTTGAGATCAGTCGGTCTGGAAAACACTTTTCCAGGTAAGCCATAGCGTTTCTGGCTGCATGGGCTGTGGCATTGTCCTGTTGAAGCCACGTGATCTGCTTCTTATCTGCCGATAACGTGTTGACAAATTATTGCAACATCGTAATGTACCGGTCACTGTTCACTGTGTGTTGAAAGAATGTCATGAAGATGCGACTACGTGACATGCTACACCAGACACTAAGTTTCTGTGAGTGCAGAGGCGACTCCTGCAGCTCATGTGGGTTTTTCGCGGCCCATAGTCGAGAATTCTGGGCATTGACGTACCCATCGAGAAGGAAACACGTCTCGTCGTAGCCGCATGATGGAGGATTTGTTTGGAGCAACTGTTCCGTATTTTTCTGAGAAGGCCTCCTGCGTCCTGGCATAACTGCTGGACCGGATGTACTGCGTGACAATAAATATACACTGCTGCAACGTGTACCCCATGGCTACTCAGTGTTCTTCACCACCTGGACAAAAAAAATACATGTGTTGAACAACATGCGTTCCCCCATAAGGTTGCGTGACTTTTTGAACAAACTGTATTAGCGAGGGCATGTAGTAATGCAGATAAGTGGACTACCGCGCCATCTGTTAGGAAAAACTTGGAGAGCGAGAGAGTTAATACCTGCCTGCGGACTAAAACAATGGGGACATCTCTGCGACACACGTGCTTGTTTAATTGATGCAGTGCAACTTTGGTGTGTATAATGGTTGAGTGCTGTTTTTAGGGCTGATCCATGTTTGAGTGTGTGATATATGATACAGGAACTAAGGTGAGCTGTTCGTGACGAGTTACTTGGAGTAATATTATAAGAAAGTTTACTCATTAAGGGCTATTGATTGTAAAGAGACCTCAAGATATCATTGTGACTTATTAATACCTTTCCCATGAGGAGCAGTAGTTGTTAAAATCCTAAATCTTAAGTTTGCAGCCGGATTTTACAAGGACACTCCATTTGAATTTCAGATTGGTATATCAACAAGAAATCAACGATCTCAATCTCAGGTCAACCAACCATAACATATAGACTGTATCCTGGATCAGTGGCCATACCAAACATTGTTTTTGTTAACACTGTATTACCTGATTATTCAGGGGTGGCATACCTTGTATTTGAAGTCAACTAAACTCACCAACACAAAATATCATTTTTAAAACTCAAAATGAGTCTCCTTAAGGACCTTGCTCTCAGGATTATGGGAAATCATGTGGTAAAGAAATATTCCGAACCAATAATGACACATCAACAAGCAAGAGAGATAGGATGACAGTTGAGGGATCTAAACAAGTATGGAGTCAGACTTGCTCTAGGAAATTCCCTTCAACTTCAAAATCTGATACTCCCACCTGCTCTTCAAAAATACAATAAGAATAATACATTTGAAATAGCCCTTAGGATTCAACTGTGCATAGTCCTTGGTTGTGTTGAATCCTCATACACATCTTTCAGTTCCGCATATCATTTAATATGTGAATTCTTCCTTCATTTTCTGAGGACTGAAACAGATACATTAGAAGGTTCAGCTTTAACCGTCTTAAATGAATGCACGAACAATTTGAAACATTATCAGCTCAGTGAAATGGAGTTATATTCAATGGAAGCTCTTCAAGTTTGTTTGAGTTTAGTCCCAAACTTTAGTCTAGGAGGAATCATCAAAATTGATCCAGGAGCTGATTTAACCAATCCAGCTATCCAGCAGAACTTGCGAAGTCAGGTGAGGGAGCTCAATGCATTACCATATCAACCCTCTATTGCATTGTTCAATTTGATTGTCAAATCTTGTCTTTATTATAACAGCTTGAAATCAGACCTTGCTAGATTAATATTCACCTTTGGGATGGGATTCGCAAGGAGTCGCAGGATGACAGAAAGGGCTTGGACAACAAGATGGACAGCTCTAGTTAATAGATATCCAGCTGAGTCGCAATTCTCATTTCTTGCTGAAGATGCTCGAAACCTGTCAGATTTAATTCAAATCCTTGCCCGTGATGGATTAGATCTTCCAAAGTTAGTTGCAGAATATTTGGGTTATGTAGAAAAATTCTTCCCTGAGGATCCCATAATGAAAAAATTGGTTGACCAAGCCGCCCATAAAGGAATGACTGTTCCAGTAGCAATTACAAAAGCATTGTCTTCTTATCCGACCTTTGGATGGATGCACTTGTTAGCTACAAATGCTGTACTTCAAAGTGAGGTCGAGTACCTGATGAAATATTTTCATCGGATCAAAGGGGATGTTTATGCGGGCATAAAATATCCTGGAATTGCCAACAATGTCAAGAACCGTGCATACCTTTGTGTCAAACTGCAAATTGAGATTGCAGGAGATGAACAACTTAAGAAATACAATGGGATTGGAGGTCTGAACAACAAAACACAAATTCCATTAAGGATTCTTCTAGATAAACTGGTAGCTGAGTATAAGAAAACCATTCTTTATGAAGAGACTCGGAGACCATCCTTAACAGTGTTAACTAAATACAAAGACCAATCTACCTCAACTAAAGCAATGAAGGAACTTCTTTCTCAGAATCTTTTGCCAAATGATACTGAAGAAGATGAAGATGAGGTTGATGCAGGAGGGATTGGAGGTGTGTTCAAAGAGCAGCCTTTATCTAGTGAAGATAGCGGAAGTGATCCTGGTGCAGGCTCCCATCACAGGAAATCAAAAAGGAAATTTTCACCTCCTCCTAAGAAAAAATCATGCAGTCCAATACAAAGACCAATCTACCTCAACTAAAGCAATGAAGGAACTTCTTTCTCAGAATCTTTTGCCAAATGATACTGAAGAAGATGAAGATGAGGTTGATGCAGGAGTGATTGGAGCTATGTTCAAAGAGCAGCCTCCATCTAGTGAAGATAGCGGAAGTGATCCTGGTGCAGGCTCCCACCGCAGGAAATCAAAAAGGAAATTTTCACCTCCTAAGAAAAGACCACGCAGTCCATCTCCAAGATCACAGAAATTGGAATCAAGATTTGGGACTCCTCCAAGGATGATTGAGAGAACAACTCATTCACCAACCTTCTCTGTGTCTGGTCTATCTACGCAATCTCAAATTCATCACGTGGGTTTAGATAGAATGAGAGTGAGTACAGCTTCAGAGTCAATTCCTCCTTTTGAACCTCAAGCTGGAACCAGTAAAATACTCACGGAGATTGTGGGTGATGATTACCTTAAGCAGAACCCTCATGAATTGACACACATGGGACCTCTCACTGCTCTTGAATCTCCAACAACTGCTCTTCCTCGAGAGACATGTCAGGAGACCGGTACCAAATCCTCAACTAAAGGGAAGAAATAGTCTAGTTCCTGTAATGTTGACATGTGGATTATATTGTTGGTATTTATCCAAAAATAAATTGTGTAACAGGGTATGTTTTATAGAGTTATAATGAAACTCCTCATAAGAATTAATTTTTGTAATTCAAAGAAGTCATTAAGACATTATTTCCTCATGTTGTATGTTTGTCTAGATTTAAGATTGCTTTTCTTATTCAATTATTAATATTGTTCATTTCTTGTACCAAAACCACATGACCTCAAAAATATTTTAAAAACTTTTAATGAGTTCAGTTCATTCATCAAGTGATGATCCTTTTGAAGTAGCACCTGCTATCTTTCCAATTGATGTTTTCCCTACTGAGGCATCATGCTTCGGACCGGTGATACGGAATGCACGCTGTTTCGAGTCTTGGGGAAAGAAATTTCTCATGAGATTTTCGACCAGTGTATGGGACCGGTACCAACCCAGCATCGTGAGGAAATTGGAGGAGCTACAATGAGTAGCGTAATCTGGTCAGGATTGCCAGCAATGGCTGGGGGTTCGTCGTGCTGACCACACGTCACACTATAGCTGGTTGGATGATCGTTCACCTCTGCTTAGGCATATGAACGTGAGGCCAGCTAGTCGGCTTTGGCTTACATAGGGCTGTTACGCCATGGATTTATTATTTTATTTATTTGTTTTAAATGAATTGCCGTGCCATATGTTGGGAAGGTATAAACTAATGGTCCCGCGAATGTTTTCTGACCCGTTTACCTCCTTGTGTATCCTATAACCCGGATAGAAACCTCAAAAAACTCAGAGCTAGGTGACCTGTTCCGCCCTCTATAGGCAAAGTCACGAACTACTAAGTGAACTGCGGCGCCATATATTAGCGAGAGCATGAACTAATGTAAAGATAAGTGAATTCCCGCGTCATCTGTTGGGAAGGTATAAACTAATGTGCCCGCGAATATTTTCTGACCCGTTTATCTCCTTGGTTATTCTATAACCCGGATAGAAACGTCAAAAAACCCAAGAGCTAGGTGACCTTCTCCGCCCTCTATTGGCAAAGTCACGAACTACTAAGTAAACTGCGGCGCCATATAGTAGCGAGAGCATGAACTAATGTAAAGCTAAGTGAATTGCCGCGCCATCTGTGGGAAAGGTATAAACTAATGTGCCCGCGAATATTTTCTGACCCGTTTATCTCCTTGGTTATTCTATAACCCGGATAGAAACGTCAAAAAACCCAAGAGCTAGGTGACCTTCTCCGCCCTCTATTGGCAAAGTCACGAACTACTAAGTAAACTGCGGCGCCATATAGTAGCGAGAGCATGAACTAATGTAAAGCTAAGTGAATTGCCGCGCCATCTGTGGGAAAGGTATAAACTAATGTGCCCGCGAATATTTTCTGACCCGTTTACCTCCTTGGTTATCCTATAACCCGGATAGAAACATCAAAAAACAAGAGCTAGGTGACCTCCGACCTCTATTGGCAAAGTCATGAACTACTAAGTGAACTGCGGCGCCATATATTAGCGAGAGTATGAACTAATGTAAAGCTAAGTGAATTGCCGCGCCATCTGTTGGGAAGGTATAAACTAATGTGCCCGCGAATATTTTCTGACCCGTTTACCTCCTTGGTTATCCTATAACCCGGATAGAAACATCAAAAAACTCAAGAGCTAGGTGACCTTCTCCCTCTATTGGCAAAGTCATGAACTACTAAGTGAACTGCGGCGCCATATATTAGCGAGAGCATGAACTAATGTAAAGCTAAGTGAATTGCCGCGCCATCTGTTGGGAAGATATAAACTAATGTGCCCGCGAATATTTTCTGATCCGTTTACCTCCTTGGGTATCCTATAACCCGGATAGAAACATCAAAAACTCAGAGCTAGTTGACCTGCTCCGCCCTCTATTGGCAAAGTCATGAACTAACAAGTGAACTGCGGCGCCATATATTAGCGAAGGCATGAACTAATATAAACATAAGTGAATTGCCGCGCTATCTATTGGGGAAGGTATAAACTAATGTGCCCGCGAATATTTTCTGACCCGTGTACCTCCTTGGGTATCCTATAGCCCGGATAGAAACATCAAAATCTCAGAGCTAGATGACCTGCTCCGCCCTCAATTAGCAAAATCGTGAACTAATAAGTGAACTGCTGCGCCATGTATTACCGAAATAATGAACTAATGTAAAGATAAGTGAATTGCCTTGCCATCTGTTGGAGAAGGTATAAACTAATGTGCCTGCGAATATTTTCTGACCCGTTTACCTCCTTGGGTATCATGTAACCCGGATAGACACATCGAAAACTTAAGGTAAAGACATGAACTAGGTGAACTGCCGCGCCATATATTAGAGAGGGTATGGACTAATGTATAGAAAAGGATTGCTGGGCTGCAATAATTCCGATTGCAAAGCGAATATGAATAAAATCTTATGGGTTGCGGAGCCCTGTAGTCTGGTATAAGTTTATATACTTTTCAGATGCCAATACTGTCTTTATCAAATGGGCCCTGGTGATGGAAGTTTGAACCTCTGATACGTTAGTAAGCTTCCACCAGACGGTACTACAATGTAGAAGACGGGCACATTCGTACTCACCGCCCTGAATACGTGGAATCTTAATTTGGATTCAATTCATTCGATTTATTCTTAGATAATGAAGTGATTCTATAGTTCGTTTGCACGTGTGAATTAATCGATAGTTTCATTCCTTTGGTTTAAGTTGGTTATCTATGGTCATGTATATATCTGTGTTATATTATCTGTGATCGTTCCTGTCACTAGGTTAAATAAGTATGACGAATGGAGCGGATTATGTAGGTGGTGGTAATGTGGGAAGTAGTAGACATGAATTTGATATCGTTATTGGAAGAAAGCAGGGCAGATCCAACGTTAGTGACAATAGAAGCAACTGTGGTTACCGGTCTGGAACCAGTAGCCGTGGAAGAATGCCCAGAAAGAAAAGATTAGTAAAGCAGTAAATATAGCCCTTGCACGTGGAAGGGTGTTCTTTAATGTACCCTTTCATAAAATGAATATTGTAAGTTTTAGATCTATTGTATCGTGAACAATTGATACAGAAATATCATGTTTAATTAACACATTCACCGGTAAATTTATCACAATTGGAACAGTTTTGGTAACAGTTGTTTTCGTGTTGCCTTTCAGGAATTTAAGTGTTTTACTTTAGGGTTGTAATGCAATGTAGTCTGGTAGAAGTTTACCTGGGCGCCCTGATTATGGAGCCAGTAAGGGCCACTGAAACATTGGTGAACTACCAGGCTAGACAGTGCTACAAGTACTAAATTAATGTGTGGCCAGTTCAGTATGAACAGATGCAGTATTGCAAACTTGAGTTTGGTCTTCCAAGATTTAGTCTTGAACCATGATTAGAGCTGTTCCTGAGAGTTTGTTAGCTTAATCTGGAAATTGCACCATCTTTTGGATATGCCAGTTATTTTATGGATGTTTGTTATGAAAATTTTACTTCCACCAGTTCTTTCACTATTTTGGAATATTGAAACCAAGTGGTTAGCACTCATGCTTTGTGGTTTGAAAGCCCTGGTTTCATATTGCAGGCAAGAGGCCAGCCATCCCAACTGAGGTGTTTTGCAGTTTTCTTTAATTCATCCAGGCAAATACTGGAATGGTACCTTAAAATATGCCACAGTTGCCTCCTTCCATGTCCTTTGCAATTCACTGTTCATTAATTTTGTCATTAAGTGCTATATACACCGAACTGTTGACAGTAATGTTTAGAAAATCACAAATAAAGAATTCACTTTTTTTGGTGTTTACTCTTTTGACCACCCTATATCATTTTCATGTGTAAAACGATGAAAATAATTTTATCTTTTGTTTTCCTTCAACTATTTTTTCCTTGAGCTGGTAAAAATATTTTCCACACATACTTGTAATGAATAAGTATGTAGAAAATTTTCATATACTTTTCTTATAACTCCTTTAAAAGTAAGAAAAATTTTAATGACAGTGATGTTTCAGAAGTAAACTTATTATAAAATTAGAAGCACATTAAATATGTCATTGAGTTTACAATATTTGTCACACAATCATTGTAAAGGTTTAAAGATTAAATTCGTGTACTCTTTGCATCGACGTGATCCAGTAGCCATACTTCATTTCTGTAATTGATATCTCCCCGTCATTGTGGATATTTGAAAACAGAAGTGTATCTGTGCCAATGGGGATTGGTTTCAGCATGTGTTGTAACCTATGTAAGTAAACTTCACTCTGTAGTTTCTGAAATCTCATTGCTGCCGCTAACCAACTAGGAAAGATGGAAACCAATGCAGTGCCCTTACATCTGAAAGGCCATGCCCTGGCGTAGCTACCAACAAATCTCCCAGCAATTCTGAGTCTTTTGTACCATTACTCTTTACTTTGTGGAGCCGAGTCCTTCGTGAGAAGCTAACAGTCGCTCGACCACTCAAGAATTCTCAACATATGGAACCTGAAGATTCATTACCATGTTCACAAGAGCCCACCTTTGGTCTCTGTCCTGAGCCAGATGAATCCAATCCATACCACCCCATCCTATTTCTCTAAGATCCATTTTAATAATATGCTCCCACCTATGTCTAGGTCTTCCTAGTGGTCACTTTTCTTCTGGTTTGCCCACCAAAACCTTGTAAGCATTCCTCTTCTCTCCCTGCAGGCTACATGCCCTGCCCATCTCATCCTCCTTGGCGTGATGAGTCTAATTATATTTGGTGAGGAGTACAACTTATGAAGCTGATGTGTGTCTTAGTTTTTACACCCAATCTCTGTTCACTCTTGATTGTTTGAGGACAATTTTTTTCTTAGGTTGAAGAATTGCGGTCTGTTGATAACCTGTATGTTGTGATGAAAATGGTTCCCAGTCTTCACCTATCTTGCATTGATTTTGTAAGTTGTCATTATTGTTCTCACTTTCTTAGTACAGTGAATTCTATAATGAGAATAATGGTGGATATAGAAATTAATAAAAGTTGATCATAACAAAGAAAATGCATACATGGTAAAAATATATAAATTTAGCCATAACCATGTATTTGGTTTGCCAACTTCAGAAATATGTGATGAGTGGTGACAAAGTTGTTAAAAATTTATGTTGGTGTTAATGGCTACAAAATTATGGTTAATATCAGCTTGATTTCTTGCTAATATATATTGAAATTTTGATATGCTTTGAAGTCATATCTTTATATAAAAACTCTTTATACATTTCTCTATGGAAATGTTAATGTGCTTTATTTACTTAGGAAGAGGCCATATCAGCTGTTAAGAGTGCAGAGTTTGTTAGTAATAAGATGATATATTTAATACTAAGAGTTTATTGGTGTGATATTATTGTTCTGAATGTGCACTAGTTTAGGACAAATGTGATGATATAAAGGACAGTAGATTTCATGAGGAACCAGAACATACATTGATCATTTCCCTAAGTACATGAAAATTTTATTGAAAAATTTCAGTGTAAACTAAAGATATTTTCAGACTGACAATTGGGAATGAGAGTTTACATGAAATTATCAATGATAATTTGATTGGAGTAGTAAACTTTGCCATATCATTATATCTTACCATCAACAAACCTTTAAAAACCATTACAAATTATGTATTTAAATGTGTTCTGTGTGTAATGTGTTTATACATATACATCTCCAGTTTTTGTATGTATTATGATGTGTATCAGTTTGTTGAATTAGGTTTAAAATAATTTGTCAAAGTAATATTAAATAATATATATGCATTTGCTCATTGCTATTGATGAAGAAAGTGATTAGTATTTATTGGGTATGGTGCTTGTGACAGGTATAAACACTATTCTTGAGATAATTGTTGTGCCATGTAGTCTGGTAGATGTCAAAGTGTTAATTACAAGTGGCCTATCAAATGAATTCCCCACGTAAGAGCTTTTGACTGACACAAGAATGAGCTGTCTATCTTAATTAGAACCAGAGTTGTGAGCATTTTAGTGATTTGACTTGGAATAACTCATTCATTGTTAAATATAGTAATCCTTTAGTTTATACATTATTAAATAATCAAGAAACATTTATATTCTGTTATCCATTCCAGGATCATGACATTAATATCTTACAAAGACAGCTGGAACATGGTGATATAAAGAAATCCCTTGCATTATGGTGCGAGAGAAATAAATTCCAGGGCATCGTGTATCCAACTGAAGATGTGTATAAGGTGGCTAAATGTGATGAACTTGAAATTAAAAGATTATCTAAAGCAATGGCTGAAACTCAAATTGGACACAAAAAATACCATACTGTTGAAATTTGTGATGAAAGTTATGAAAATGAAACATGTTCAGTAGTAACTGATAATAAAGATGAAAGATCAAGGTTTAATGTTGCTGTACTGGAAGCATACCATGAAACTGATTCAAGAAAACCAGAAGAAAAAGTACTGAAATTCCGTGTGACTTGCATTCGCAATGGAAAACACTGTTTTGGCTCCCAAGATGCAGCATACCATGTAGGGGGAAGAATTCAAGACATGTTTCATTGGATTGTTGATCTTAATTTATATGACCTTGAAATTGTGATGAACATAAGAGAAGGTAAAGTCAAGACTATACATGCATGCATGCAGGCTACATATTTTCCAAATGTTCTCATGTAATTTATAGTAGGATTTTTGAAATATATAATTTTTATTTTTGGAACTTCTGCCTGTAATTTATCCCATTAGCAATAGAATTAATCATATATTTATTTATGTCATTTCATCTCATAGAATTATAACACTGACTATTGATAATTTGGCATGAATTACATAGTTCAGTTTATCCTGAAATTTATTCCAAAGACCTTTTAAATATAAAGCAGAATGTACTGGTAATAACAAAAACTGAAGCTGGAAATAATATTACAGAGTGTTCCTGAATGATGTGTCTTTTTTTCAGAGTGACTTGGAGACGCTGAGTCAGTAAGTCTTGGCCAAATCTGGGCCTAGAAATGCTTTGTTACAGAATTACAGCTGTCTCATTCTCCAAGACTTGTAAACAAAGAAAGGCGTTATAATCTCTATATAGCGTGGTGAACTCTTACAATCAGCAGTAAGTACTTTAACATACCGTAATTGTCATGGATACAGGCATGATCACTAAGTTGGCACTACTCTCACATATGAACTTAAGCGTACCTTTTCTTCAATACAACCTCCACGTAATGTAGTGCATCATCTAGCCATTCTTTAAGTTCTTTCAAAGCCAGAATTAGATTGGATTTAGGTCTAGTAATCGTGACACCCTGGCTGTAGGGTCCTTCGGACCATGACTGATATAATGAAATCTTATAAATTACAGCATCTCATGTAAAAACACTGAAGGGGAAGCTGTACCTCCATAACAAAGCATTTCAAGACAAAATTTACTGAGATTTTTTCCTTAGGAAAGGGACTGATGTTGACTTTGCTTGTTGGTTGGAACATAAAGTTTTATCACCATCTTTATAAAAGCTTCCCATTGGACCCAAACCAGTACCAGTTTAATTCATTTCACAACTTTGCAAAAATCAGCATGAGTAATCTTGGGTAATCAGAGAATGGTTAATATATTTGACATTTGTTTGCTGTGTGAATTCGTATGTCTTATCGTTTAAAAACTTAAAATCATTTTTCCTTCCCAGATTCAATGTATTATGGGATTGCGTTGACAAAAGAATCAAAGCATCATCGAAACATAAACTTCTTTGGTCCTACAACTCTGCGAGCTACCATCTGTTACAACTTGTTACGTCTTGCCCAGCCGAAAGTTGGTGATATCATCATTGATCCTATGTGTGGTGGTGGATCCATCCCCATTGAGGTATGATGGTTGCTTGTGATGTTGCATTGAATGTTGGCGTTCTTCACGTGCACTTAGAAATGTAAATTGTATGTGTGTAGATTACTAATAAAAATGTAAGTTAGCATCATAAACATATGATGAATAGTATTATGCTAAGTGTTGTTTTGAAACTTAAATGTTGAGTTACTTTAATACCTAGTGGGTTTTTGCAATATCATGTCACATGCATGATGAGAAATATCTGTAATAATTTCTGCTTTTGTCTCACACTTAAAATTTAGAATATTTTTAGTGGATGTAAGCATTTACTACAATGCAGGTCATTGTATAATCGAAAGCATTAGCAATGTAGTTTACAGTGTTACCATCTGTTATCAAAAATTTTTGCACAGCCCCTCTTCAGTGTCATTCAAGCAGGTTTTATTTTCTCATTTCTTGCCGTTATTTAATCAAGTATCACGCCATATGACATTGTAGTGAATTTAACCTTTCGTGACAAAGAATTCAAAGTGATGACAGACCGGAAAGTTACTTTTGCCACCAGATTATAGTATAGTAGAAATTGGCCAATGTGCCAGAGGTGCTTACTGCCTCCATCATCAGGTTGAGTCACGGTGGTGGAGGTAGTAACCATTTCTGAAGCACTGGTCAATTTCTTCCAAGTCACATGGTGAAACATCCCAGAAGGCGTCCGTCTTCATATCACCATTGGTTTTGTCATTTCATACATGAAGGGGTTCATGTGTTGGATTGTCTTTTGTCCCCCCCATCTTGTTATATTGGTGTTACCAAAGTTTAGGAACACTGTTGTAATTATGATTGTATTTTAAGTGGAATATTATGTAGAATACAAAAGAATTTTAGGCCTTGTATACAATCATGTTGATGCTGGTGTTAGTTTATGTATTTTTTTTATAAAATTATTGTTTCCCATGGTTACGTAATTTGCAGTTAATTCTAAGAACAGTAATTTGCAGGTTTCGTTATGTGTATGTTAAATATTTTGTATCATTTCAGGGATCATTAGCCTTTCAAAATTCTTACTTTATCTGTGGTGATATACATGAAAAGGCTGTCAACCGTACACAGTCCAACTTAAATCATCTTAATTGTGATGTTCAGAGAAATCACGTGGATGTTTTTCACTGTGATGCTACCCGTCTTCTTCTCCAAGATTCGTCAGTGGATATTTTTATAACAGACCTGGTTAGTGGTACAAATGTAACTGTTACAGTGATGACGGTACTAGTCAGTATATTGAGTATATTGTATGTGTGTAGATTACTAATAAAAATGTAAGTTAGCATCATAAACATATGATGAATAGTATTATGCTAAGTGTTGTTTTGAAACTTAAATGTTGAGTTACTTTAATACCTAGTGGGTTTTTGCAATATCATGTCACATGCATGATGAGAAATATCTGTAATAATTTCTGCTTTTGTCTCACACTTAAAATTTAGAATATTTTTAGTGGATGTAAGCATTTACTACAATGCAGGTCATTGTATAATCGAAAGCATTAGCAATGTAGTTTACAGTGTTACCATCTGTTATCAAAAATTTTTGCACAGCCCCTCTTCAGTGTCATTCAAGCAGGTTTTATTTTCTCATTTCTTGCCGTTATTTAATCAAGTATCACGCCATATGACATTGTAGTGAATTTAACCTTTCGTGACAAAGAATTCAAAGTGATGACAGACCGGAAAGTTACTTTTGCCACCAGATTATAGTATAGTAGAAATTGGCCAATGTGCCAGAGGTGCTTACTGCCTCCATCATCAGGTTGAGTCACGGTGGTGGAGGTAGTAACCATTTCTGAAGCACTGGTCAATTTCTTCCAAGTCACATGGTGAAACATCCCAGAAGGCGTCCGTCTTCATATCACCATTGGTTTTGTCATTTCATACATGAAGGGGTTCATGTGTTGGATTGTCTTTTGTCCCCCCCATCTTGTTATATTGGTGTTACCAAAGTTTAGGAACACTGTTGTAATTATGATTGTATTTTAAGTGGAATATTATGTAGAATACAAAAGAATTTTAGGCCTTGTATACAATCATGTTGATGCTGGTGTTAGTTTATGTATTTTTTTTATAAAATTATTGTTTCCCATGGTTACGTAATTTGCAGTTAATTCTAAGAACAGTAATTTGCAGGTTTCGTTATGTGTATGTTAAATATTTTGTATCATTTCAGGGATCATTAGCCTTTCAAAATTCTTACTTTATCTGTGGTGATATACATGAAAAGGCTGTCAACCGTACACAGTCCAACTTAAATCATCTTAATTGTGATGTTCAGAGAAATCACGTGGATGTTTTTCACTGTGATGCTACCCGTCTTCTTCTCCAAGATTCGTCAGTGGATATTTTTATAACAGACCTGGTTAGTGGTACAAATGTAACTGTTACAGTGATGACGGTACTAGTCAGTATATTGAGTATTATACAGGGTGAGTTAGAAGTATGTTTACAAACTTCTTGTGCGTGTTCCAGGATCAAAAATAAGAAAAAATGTTCCTATGAACATGGGGTCGTGAATGTTTCATTTTTGAAATAATAGCCAAAAATAAGTTTCAATGAATTGACTTTATATCAAAGTGAATCCATCTTATCATTTGCATTTGTTATTAAACTAAGCAGTTTGTACTTTGTGTCGTGTAATTAGGTATGGTACATATTCAGAACATTTAAAGTACAGTAGTCTTCTCGGTTTTTCTGTACAACACTTTTGACGCACGCTGTTCACTGACTGTTCACTTGAACAAGTTTTGATCACAGTGTAGTTTGAAAAATGTTCAAGTGAACAGAGTGTGGAAAGCGGAAAAGTGACCTGCAGAGAAACAAAGAATTTAACACAACAAACAGGGATGCTACGCTACAGACTTACAGTAGTTTTATTGACAGATTTTACATATTTCATTAGAATTATAAATTAACGATGTTTATACTTTAAAATATTGGGTATGGGAAGACTATTCACCACTGAGTGCGTTTCTTTATCACTACTTGTATTATTAGATAATGTTTTACTAAATAAATGTAAAGTAAAACCTGACTTGAACACTTTCAGCCATTTGGGAAACGGAGTGGGACTGTGTTCGACAATCGAATACTGTATAAGAAGGTGCTTTTGGAACTCGCGAGAGTTGTTCGTTGTAAAACTGGGCGAGCCATCCTTCTAACATATGATAGAAAGAGCATGACCATGGTGAGTTGATATTAGCGTTAGGGTTGTAAATTAAAAATAAGTACTTTAAAGGAAAAAGATTTTGTTGAAACAATTCCATGAAAATATTTTATTACCAAAGGGGTTTTGAAGCAGTTAAGTTTGAATACCTCTGCTATAAGCAATCGTCTTTGTAATGTTTTATGGTGGGCTGTTGTATTGTTCCTGTACTTTAAACTGGAGAAAGAAACATTGCTCATTAAGAATTTTCTGTAATGTAATTAAATTATCCAGGGGACACTTTTAACAGCTTTATGATATATTTGTGAAAATCTGATTACTGAAATTACATATCACTGGTAGAAGCAGTAATGCATTTGTTGTAAGGTATGAACAAAGCGTAAATGGTTCATATTAATGAAGATTTTAGGTATTGGGAACATTTCCTTAGTTTCAGATTATGACATGAAAATAAATTCTTCTGACATTTATGTTTACAATTCTAGGCACTCATATTTGCTGCTGGTCTTTGGAAACTTGCAAAGAAACTGAAGATAAACATAGGTGGCTTAGAAGCGGGTGTGTATGTTTTGTGGCGTCTCAAAGCCTCTGCAGCAACATTCATGCCACGAGCTCCGAAGAAGAGACATCGCAAGCAAGTAAGAGAAAATATTGTCTTTGATAAAAAGTTGAATTTGTGCTACATAACAGTACTTTTCTTCTTCTTTATAAAAATAATGTTTTGTTTAATAGTTTAATTTTATTGTCGGTATTTTTGATGACAATACACTGAAATTATTTAGGAACTTCACAGGAAAAATATTTTTATTTGGACATCTTATTTACTCTTACGCTACTTTGTAACAAAGATAATATGGCGAAAACTGTGGCAAAGAAAACCATGGATCCTGGTAGGCTGTCAACTCTGTATAGTGTTACAATGGTGTACCAGCCATACTAACACTGCATTTGTTTCATTGTTTAACTTCTTGATGCAGTCATATACTGAACAGTGACATATACATATGGCACTGAAAAATTCTGGAATTAGTAATTGTGAATAACAAGAGTCTCGTCCTTACTCTAGTGATTGTGTGACATATTCCACAGTATTTAAATGACCCAAAGGTAAACTCTGTCGCCTTCAGTGGACTAGTGGTTAGTATGCTCACCAGTGGATCCATGGTTCGCAGATTCAAACCCGGCCGAGGTCGATGGATTTTTAAGGGTGATAGAAATCCGTAGTACAACTTCCTTTGGAGGGGAAGTAAAGCCGGTGGTCACATGTCGTAGCTTTACTGCATGTAAAAGAACCTTATGAGCATGAACGATGTGTTTCGTAAAGCAAAATTCAGCAGCCATTTCTCACCAAAGTCTCTCCTGATTCACTACTAGATGGTTCTGGCAGTTAAATCAGGATTGAGTAGAAATTGTGCAGAGGCAGTGGGCTTGTCACTCGCTACTCATAAATGCACACTTCAAAGACAGAAACATCTCACATGGGAGGAGACCAAGGCTTGATTTCGGGCTGTTGCGCCATAGAAGTAGAAGAAAGGTAAACTCTAAACTTACATAAAATGTGTACCCCCTTTTACAGATCCTTGGGCATGGACCCCTGAATGTTTTGGATGAAAAGGCAGGAGAAACATAGAAGCAAGACCATTAAATGGATACATGTTTTATGATTCCATTTTGGCTTCAGATAGCGATGGAAAAAGGAATATTGGAAAACTATCAATATGACACTGTGATCCCTGAGGGTGAAACAGATCATAGTTGTCGGACTTGGCCCAGTTCTAGGGCCCAGGGTTTTACTGGTGCTAATGATAACATTGACATTAATCACAACAATAATATTGTTACTTTTGTTGCTATGGCTTCTGAAGTAGCAGAAGATGATGCTGTCCCAAGGACAAGTATTGTTACGGCGATGGTAATTTAAATATTTCATGGAAGGTGAGTAATCACATCTCATGTAGGATTTGAGGTTTTCACGGCGGTGAGTCTGAAGATGGCTGTCTTCTGGGTTGTTGCGCTGTGTAGTCTGGTAGAAGTTTATCGACATTTCATAGGTCCTTGCTGCCTCCATCTTCATTGCCCTGATGACCAGACTACACTGCGCAACAACCCAGAAGACAGCCATCTTCAAACACAGCCCAGCCTGCGAGTCCATGGAAGGTGGAGCTTACCTGATTGTCCTGAAAATCCTTATCTGCCAATAAATTACATTTTAAAATTTTATTTATGAATCATTTCTGGCGAACATAAGGGACCAAGCTAATTTCTTTCTGTACAATTTGATCCTTCTAAACCTATGTAAGTAGAACTGAAATTAAGATGGCTGCCTTCTGGGTTGCAGCGCCATGTAGTCTGATTGAAGTTCACCATTGTTTCAGAGATACTTGCTGCCTCCATCATTATGGTGATGACTTCATGATGGAGGTGGTAAGGACCTCTGAAATGGTATACAGACCCTAATATTAACCATCCTTGTTTATTCTTCTTTTGTTATATCCAATTTGCTGCCACCTGCCTGTAAATCTCTTAAGTATGGCGTGCCCCAATAGTCACCCTCTAATGAATATATTATTGCTGCTGTAGTAAATTTAATCTTATATGTGTCATGCCTGTACATACTCCAGAATGGATTAGCGTTTATCATCCGTGTACCACACTGTAAGTTTATTCCAGGGTAACATGTGGCGCTAGCGTACCATTAAAGTAGTCCTTTATATTCAGCCATTTCTTAGCAAATATGACACTGCAGTTCTATTTACTTTTGTATAAAGTATTCCATTTTTGTTTCATCTTTGATTTCTCTTAATTATCAGTCCTGTGAAGGTTATTGATACCGAGAAATTGTCATGTCACACGGTCATGACATAGTCATACATTCAAGGTCTTGTCAAGAGTATCTGATTGTAAACCAAAATGAATATAAAAAAGTACAGAAGTACGTAACATTTCATGTTATGTTGGCGATGACGAATGAGTTGTGGATATATGGGAGGGGGGGTGAGAAATTTATCAGAATAGAATATGTTTTTGGTTATTATGCATACCTGTCCTTTGTAATGCCATAAATTAAAATCTTGTAATATTTTTATAGTAAATCTTGATTTCCAGGTTGTTACTTAAGTTATTTTGGTAAAGGTCTCGTGTTTGTGCTGAATAAGACAGTGACCAATTACGGCCGTCAGGGGGTGATCAGCGTTGAATGCATCACGCAGAGACCAAGGTTACACGATGGACTCCAGCCGCGAAATCTCAAGGACACGAAGACCTTGACAATTTTGTAGTGATTCCCAATTTTCATTTTTTAGAAGCTAGTATATTCATTTATAACAGTAGGGTCATGAGTCTGGTTTGTTTCCACCTTTTTTCCCAACCGGTTTTATGTTATTGATCACAATGAGTTTTGTATTGTCAGATGTACCTTTTATTACAAGTTGGGTCCATTGCAGTACTCACAGATGCAATCTATATCATTTTATATTGACAGTGAGGAAATCTGAAGTACACATTATCTTGGTATAAAATTTTATGTAGAATGGATAAGTAGGACCTAAACATTACAATCACATAACACTTTTTCCGAGGGAGATATCGCGGACAGGGAGAAAGAAAATGTACACAGGACACTAAATGCGGAAATATTCCTATATTTCGAAATCCTTTGGGGAAGTGAAGTTATAGTGTAAATTCAAATCAAAATATTAAGGTCTCTTTTATGAAATGTGAAAGATATTGCCTGTCGCATCTCACTACATTTAATTAAACGTTGTACACATTGTGACTTTATTGTTCGATAAATTCTGTAATGTATGTGAAAGAGCTATGATGGATTTTCATCTATATGCTCGACTTGAGTTGCTGAGATGTCCTGCTATCTGGTGACAGCATCGTGAACTTTGAGTATGCCGACTACCGGGCCAACTACCGCTCGTAGCATCAGAATTTAATACTACCTCTGGCCGATTACAGATCACAAAATTTATAACGCAAAACTTTTGACGCGAAGGGAAGCGAAAAAGTTAAGCAAGTTGTGAGCAATATTTTATTCCTCCTTCCATAAGACTTCTCCATGTATGTTATGTTGAATTTTATAAGTAATTAACGCTTTGGAGGTCTAGTTACATGAACATTGTAGTAGTACCTGTTAATGATTTAATTTATGCTATATATTTGTTGTCAGATTCTGAAGCATGCAGAAGTGAATATTTTTGTTTGGTTATCTACTATAAAAATTTCTGATTTCATCAACCAATTTGTCGTCAAAAAATGACGTCATCAACAATCTCAACAGATATTTGTTTACTCGGCATTGTTGTGGACGTAGATAGTTGACCAACCAAGAACTGTTGGCCTCTGATCAGCGACGTAAAGAAGTAAAATATCAGATTACAGGAAGCGCTCCGAAAGGATTAGTCGTCGTCGTCGTCAAAAAATGACGTCGTCAACAATATCACCTTATATTTGTTTATACACGGCTATGTTGTGAAATAACAATGCCGAGTAAACAAATAACGCTTAGTTCCAAGCCAGTCGCATTATCACTGCTCTACAAGCAGCACAACGTCACCGAACAGCGACATAAAACTATTTAAGAAATGAAGAAAAGTGAAAGAAGACGATACCAACACCAAAAAGGTAATCTGATACTAATAATAATATTCATCCAAGTCATACTGCTCTTCAAGGGTTAAAACACTTGAATAAGACACTAAATTAACACCCCGAAGGGGGTTAGTTTAGTGTCTTACTCAAGATTTTAAAACGCAACCAACCCCCCCGAAGGGGAGTTAGTCAAGTGAGAGTTAGTTTAGTTTCTTACTCAAGGGTTAAAACACTTGAATGAGACATAAACTAACCCTTCCGAAGGGGGGTTAGTTTAGTTTCTTACACAAGGTTGGTGGCGTTTTACAAACTTGACCAACACTCTCTAGGAGCTCCGAAAGGAGCTCCTGCTCTAGTTAATTAAAGTGGTTAAAAAGGAAAACCTATCCGTAGACACGTGTGGTGCAATCCGTTTGCAATTTCTTAACAATCGTAGAAGGCTATGACTTCTGATTCATGCATATTCTTGTGAAGTGATTGATAATGATTCTGGTTAACTTGCCTTTTTAGAATGAAATTTATTTATGATAAACAAAAACACGACCTTTAAAACTAATCATTATTATTATTTTTTTATTTTATTATTTATTTGACTGCAAATGGGTTTTTACCCGGTGGCAGTGGTCCTACAATAAGACACAACAAAACATAAGACAACAAAACAATAAGAAACAACAGAACAATGAGACAGAAAACATTATAGTCATCATATCAATAATCATATTAAATGTCTATGACCTTACTCCGGAAATGAATAATAACAAAAATTTTGGCGCCAACTCATAATTTCACTGCTTGCTGTATACCTATGTCAATCGAGCTATGCCCCACAGTTGATACCAGTGTATTTACCTATGTATGTACGGTAGCCATTTTGAATTTTATGCTTAGTGTAAAAGTGTACTGTTGATTATCTGTCACAAATGTTGATATGCAATGGTTTTCTGTAACTAAATGTGTTCGCAAAAGTAAGTGAAAGCACTATTTGTAGTCGTAATTACGTGGACTCTCATACTGACGTATAATTTATTTATTAACGTTCTTTGGTGGGATATTGGTTTATAGGGACTAGAGTATGGAAGGCATGAGCTTTGAGGAAGCTTTACGATCAAAGGAGCTCAGGGCTACGAGGGTTCAAGTAACATGTTCAAGGAAATTACTTGACTTTGGAATGAATGTGAAATATGTGAGTTGCATTTCATATAATACAAGTTTAACTTGTTGATTTTATCCTTGTTTTCGTCTTTTATTAGTCTGACGAAATGTATCGTCTTTTATTAGTCTGACGAAATGTATCTTGGGTAGCAGGTTACATATTTGTAACCGCCAATACTAGATTTGGAAAACAGCTGAATTTGCAAGTGTAGTTCAAGAAACACATATCTTACATATTTATGTTGAAGTAAAGGTGATTATGGGAAAAGTAGGCGAAGTCAGAAATTCTAGTGTATGTTTGGGTACTTAAGGTCGGACATGTATAACCCATAAGTGGATTTCGGTTCGAAACCCAAATATACCTTGAATGAGTTGTGAACAGACTTTTTCCGATAAGAAAGAGAATACTATTGAATTGTAAACACTGGTTTCTTCATACAGATCAGTTGCAAAAAGTGGACAATGAAGAATTCGGAAACGTAGTGTAATATAATTTACTTTTATACTTGATATTAATGGCACCCTTCCAGATGTATTGACTCAGATTTTGTATGTAGTATTTTGGAACTGTAACACGTAAATTTGCAGTGAAAATGAAATGCTTTAGTAATTTGAATCTAATTTACTGCCATGGACATAACCTTGAATTATTTTAATCACACTATAAAAATATGGATTAGAGACTTTTCTGTACAGCTAGTCTTTCTAATTTTTGTGGTGAAAATTATTTTCATACTACAGTAAAACCTCTCTAACTTGGACACTTGCGGTTCCACTATAATGTGTCCAACTTACGGAGGTGTCCAGGATAGAGGGAAAGGGGGAAATCATCCTTTCAAATTGTGGGGTAATGACAATGTGGTAATTGTAAAGTATTATGGAGCCCTTCCCAAAAAGGAAATTGTTGATAAGAAAAATGAAAAGGGTAAATTAAATTTTTACAAATTTTGTTTTCACTAAATTAAACTTGCATGGATGAGCTCGAAGGGACTGGCACCAATACTTTACGTTTACTGACAGTGCAATCTATTTACTTACATAGTCTAACTACTGTAGGCTTGATCGAATTAAGAATTAATGACAGTAATAATAATTTTTTGAAACCCACTCTCATGGTTGCACATTACACTCCCAGCCTCAATGAAATTTTAAATGTTCAGAATGTATTTTTTTAATTGTACTTATGGCATTAGCTCAACATATGTCACTTATTTCTTGTAAAAAAGTCTGTCACAAGACACTTTGTTTTTGCTTTTATCTTGGAGTTTTCCATCCTCTTACTAATTTTCGCCACAATCCGAATAAAGTTTCAACCATTCCTGGTTGATTATGAGCGAAACCATACCATTCCAATTTCTGTTAACTCAGTTGCAAGCACAGAACTGACAAAGTTAAAACTCCAGTGAGGGGTTTAACAAAGGAATAACTATTCACTTTCACTGCATTCCAATGATGTGTTCAATGTCTCACACCCTCAACCATAAGCTAATCCTCAGGTAGAAGACATTCATCCATAAGAAATTCAAAATAACTAAATACTAACTGAAAAAGTTTCCCTGAAAAGCATCGAAATAAAGTGCATGAACCTGTCCAACTTACAACAAAAGGGGTGTTCAAGTTCCAGGATAAAGGGGTGTCCAAGATATAGGGTATTGTGGATATGTAAAATTATAGGATATTCGCTGGTTCCAATTAAAAGTGTCCAATATGGAGGGGTGTCCAACTAGAGGGGTTTTACTGTATATTTACTTCGATTTTTTAGTGACATGGCTGTTTATAATATTGCTTTTATTTACATTGTCAGAATTAAATCATTTGTTTGGCAAAAATTATAACAGTCTGAAATATGGTATATTCATTGTGTACTAAAATAAACACATCAATATGCTTCTAATACTTTTGCCATATTTTGGTAATGTGGCATATATTGACAGTCTGAGATTTATCTCTTTCATGTGATGAGTCTCATTTTTCATATCCAAGACATCAAATGTAATTATGGACCAGATGACTTTATCCCAGTATTATATTTTATAATTTTCATTGATACTGTTTTTTCAAAAGAGGGAAGGAATTTAATTGTTACTGTTGGGCTAAAGTGGAGAAGGAAATATATCTGTTAACATCATTTGTGCCAGTCTGCTGCTATCATAGTTACAGCATAGTAACTAAGAAAGTCTCGTGGGAAAACTTGACAGCCCCTATTTTTTGTGTGCAAAATGTGATCACTACTCATGGAACATTTCATGAAACTGATTTTGCCAGAGCAGGTTATTTATAACGTCTCCTTTTCCCACAAACCAATTGGAACAGAATTCCCAAGGCATTTTTTAAAAATGTAATTTTGTATCTTGTTGACATTTTCAGTACTTGAACACTGGGGAGTCCAGAACTTTTGATTAATTAGTGTTTATTACTGCAGCTGCATCACTGTATAAAAAAGATCTATTTAAATTAAAAGTTTCCTGTAGGATTTGAGGTTTTCATGGCAGTGAGTCTGAAGATGGCTGTCTTTCCAGGGACAAACTTACCAGTCTCGTACTACACACCGTGTTTGATAAAAGTAGTAGTGTGATATTTATGTTATGTGTCAAGAAGGTAAATTTATGAAATATTTAATTTTACAAAAGAGAAGTGCTCGTGTCTAACTGCTTGTTGTCCATTATACCATCTAAAACAAGGGTTTTGCTGGGCAGATAATTTTTGGAAGAAACATAATTTGTGTCTTTTATTTCAGACTTAACAAAAGAAGACACAACACCTAAATGAGCCATGTGGGGTCATGTGTCACAATGTATGTTTCATGTGTTACAATGTATGTTTCGGAACTATGACTGATGAATCAGTACTCTCTAGTCTGGTTAAATTTCGAGTGACGAAGCTGAAATTAGGTGGCTCTAACCTGAATGATATTTCAGATGAAGAAATGATGATTTCCAATTTACCATTATTATTTGCTAATGGCTACCCAACATGCTTGGAAAAGTTTACTTTGGTAAGTAGTTATATGTTGGTTGTTCGCAGAGCATGCCATCATTTATTAGTACATTTCATAAGAAATAAGTGTGGGTACTGGTAACTTATTCTTTTTTAAATCTGAAGGTTTGTGACAATGGTTTATCATTCCAGTGGCTGACTTTGTTATATTGTCACTCCTGATTGGCTTAAGTGCAAAGTAGAAAATGTACATTTTGATTTCTTTTGTAGTATAACATCGAGCACAGTGTAACGTATGAATGAGGATTGTGTTCTTTTATGACACCATGTTATCTTTACCACCACAGAAACCTTAGATGCTATGTAGCATGAAAAATTTGGTCTTATCCATCTTGCTAGTAGGTACAGTTTTTGTAATAAATATTGTAAATTCTTCAGGGTATCTTCACACTGTGTTGAAGCAATAGAGATTGCCAACATTTGCCTTTTTCGAGGTTAACAGGATTGTAAAGTCATGCAGTATTGTTTATGTAGGGAGTGAATTAATTGTCGCGAAGGAAATCATACTCCCTGAAAAAGGTTTCTGATGCATAAAGTGAAGCTTTCGCAGCAGCTGAAGTTGATAAAAGACTCTCGGGATACGAGCCGCATCAGGTGGCTGAAGGGTGAATCGTATCTTCTGCCAGATGCTATATTCACCCTTCAGCCACCTGACGCGGTACTAATGACACTTCTGTAACAACAGATTAGAATTTACCTTTGTGCAGTAGCTTTTCTTTTCTTAGTTTTATTCTCAGAATATAGGATTTGTTCTGATTCTCATTTCAGAAACAATTAGAAAAGTTTGTTCCGTTTATGCTACGGTGCTCATTAGGGCAAAACTGCCTGGACACATACACAGCACCAAAATGGTGGCCAAGAGATCTGCCATTTTCAGTGTTTGCCAAAAAACCAGCGGGAATGGATGATGTAAGTACTCATGGTGCTAATTATGTTTTCAGCAGGTTTGTGGAGTCGGTACTAAAACCTCCGACTCCTTCATAAAAACTCAACATATATTAATGATGGTAAACCTACAAAAATGGTAAATGGTACCACAAGAGATTTCATCACCACCATGTTAATCATCAGACTACTTTTTAGACTTATAACCTATATTTAAATATAAGTCTAATTATTATTGCAGAAATCGGTTGATTTGTTAGACAGTTTGTATTCTTAAGGTACCGGAACCAAAGTTACAAAGCATTCTTCCCAAACCATGTGGCTCAACGTGTCATTGAATCTCCCTAAGCGTGAGGCCGCCGGCAGCTCACACGGTAGCGAAAGCGTTCTTAAGATTTTATATCGAGATCGGAGTCAGTACATTTTTACCGACTCGGACACCATCTAAAACTGCTTCTGACTCCGACTCCACAGCCCTGGTTTTCACAACTGCAGTCTGAGAAAGAATGCAATTATTTCTCGCACATGCATGCACACACACATACAGTCTCAAAAATTCTTACATAATTTAATAAAAATTAATGTGCCCTGAAGTAGTTTTACATGAACTTAATCAATAATGCTAGTTACTACAGCTGATATGCCTTATCTTGATTTAGTGCTCGAATAAGATGGTCGGGGAGCCTTGACATCCTCGTAGTTAACTTGGGACTGGTACTGGAAATTTAAACGTGAAATGCAAAGATGGTGGAGACTTGAATTTGCAACTGATCCTCCATCACAAAACTTTTAAGAATTCATTAATTTTTTATGAGGGTACTGTTCAAGGTTTGCACAAGCAACGATATGAGAAACCTCATTATTTATTTTGTGGTGTTATAATTTATGTGCTTGCCACAGAAATTTTTAAGGCAAGTGTGCTCATGAGAAGACTGTAATTCAAGTTTTCTAATTGCTAGTAACACATTTAGCATGTACTGCTGAAATGTCAAGTGACCTGCCATTTTATCCCAGCACTGGATGTGAATAACGAGGTGTAGTAGTTCTTTATATCAGTTACTTCATTCTAAGTCCATGTCACACCACTATGGTCCATACATACATTATTTATTAAAATGTATGTACTTTTTGTATCGCTATACTTCCAGGTTTTAATGATGTTCCCAATTGTTTTTAATTTTCTATTGTGTATTTTTTTATCTGTACTGTTCATTGTTATCAGTCTCATATGAGGCAACTTCTTCATGTTTGTTGTCGGTTTTATCATCTTATTGGACCTGTTTGGTGGTGAACACTACAGTTCGTTCTTACGTTCTGTTTGTAAAGAGATAGATACAGAGTGTACACATACAAATACTGCTAGAATGTATCCGTGCATGCAGAGTTGTGGGACTTCAAAACGCTTAAATGCGGCTTTCATATGTGATTTATAAAGACATCCTTTTGAAAGTTCTTCCCTCATGCAGCATGACTTTTGTGATGAAATAATCTTCTTGTAATTAAGTTATATTTCTGAATTAGGGTGGGCTAGGAGGCTTCTGACAGATCTCCACAAAAAAGAAGTTTGTTAGTTTTGGGTCTGGTAACAAGGCCAAAGAATTGTTTCCCGTTAACCGTTCAACTGTCATCAATACCGGTTTGTTTAGAAATTATTATTCTTGAAAAACACTGTTGCTGCAGTTGCGTAGATTGATATGCCGTATTCTGATCACAGTAACCTGGGCTTCTCCGGCGGCCTACTACTTAAATTTTTCCTCAAAGTTGTTTTACGTGTGATTTAAAATAATCTTGCATTCTAATCTTGTAATTAGGCGAGACCAAAATATTGCTATCGAAACTTAACTGAATCCAGTGATAAATGTAATTTTAAGTTGCCTTGTTTAAACTGTGTGAGCCAACATAGTACAGTCATTATAGTGACTGGCTACAGATTGGACAACTAGGGCAGAGGATTTCTCCTGTAGCATCTACATCCATACCCATTCTTACCCGTTCTGGGGCCCACCCAATCTCCTATTCAATGGGCACCGAGGGCCTTTCACTTCAGCGCAGCTGATTGGGGCCCACCCAATCTCCTATCCAATGGGCACCGAGGCCCTTTCACTTCAGCGCAGCTGATCACTCACTCCCATCTAGTGCCAAGGTCAAGAATGAGTAGGAGCTATACCGCCTCTCTCCCCAAACGACCTACATGGCGTATTGTGGGACAGCTTTACTTCATTTAAACTGTATTAAACTTAGTTTAGGAAAAAGAATTCTCTTTTCCACATTTGACCACTGCTCAAATGCAAGATATTCCATGCTCAGAGTGGTCAACAAACAAGTTATGCAGTCCAATGCTGACACAATTTAGGCAGAGCTACTGGTAGTGTCGCTAAATAATAAGTAATTAAGTACTAAGTTTCACATCTGACTTTTCTACTCCACTGATCAGTTGGTAAACTATGTACTTCTACTCTTGTGATTCATCTTGAAGAATTTGTTATGATGCAAGGATGTAGGTTTTAGTCAGTCACGACAGGAGTAGGCCTGTAACATTAACTTTATTATAGTGAGGAAAATTATCGGCGCCGTCAAGTCTTTGTGGTTATATTTTTGGAAAATGAAAATGGAACTAGGGCTTTTCTCGGCACCTTCGTTATAACGAGTATTTCCAAACTGCTGCCACATTTGTTCTGTAACATCTGGCACCGCACCGACTGAATTTATGCTTCCGAATCTATTTATAGGTGATGGTCTTTAACGTACCGGTAATCAACTCTCTCTGCCTTTGTGGTCAGGAGAAGAAAGTCAGCATGCCAGAATGTATTGTCCTCGTCATATATCTTTAATGGAACCGAGACGGGTCTGCGCATGCGTCGAATATAACATTTTTAATGCGCGTTCAGTATGCGCAGTAACATCAGAACAAACATTACTGCGCAGAATGTTCGCTTTTGCATGAACAATGCCGTAACACGCTTAGCCAAAATCGCCATGTCACGAAAGCTGACGCGCACAGTAGCTCTCTACAGATCGTTTGCCAGAGCGAAATGCCTTATCATTACCGCGACGTAGAACAAGCATTTCTGCATCTTCTACCGTGATCAGCATGCAAAACCTGACATCAGCAATTTTATGATTGGTGAATTTTTCTGGTGCGACGTTGCCACGTCGCGGAAGGAGAAAAATTATGCTTATGCCGATGGTTTGAGGTCGAAATGAATGTCACAACGTAGCAGGATTGGCATGTACAGCCGATTTTGGCTGATGAACGTAATGAATGGAATGCCAAGAATTATTAGTTTCAACAAGAGTGGATGTTTGTGGCGTACGTCGTGGATGCACTACATAAACTAATACGACGTCGAAAGGAATGCCAAGAATCGCAGAGTAAATGCGTATGTAGTTGAACAGCACCTACGATAATCAATCCGTAGAGTAAATGCGTATGTAGTTGAACAGCATTTACGATAATCAATCCGTGCGTCGAAAGGAATGCCAAGAATCGCAGAGTAAATGCGTATGTAGTTGAACAGCACCTACGATAATCAATCCGTATAGAAACACTTCTGTAACGCTTTGTGTTGCGAAAGTGTCATTGCTTGTGGGAATCCGAACATGTGGTGTTCCGAGTCTGGTCGCTGAGGTTTAATAATCTTGCGCGCGCACCCCTTGATGGGGTTACAGTCTGAGGAGGGGGGGTACTCGAAGCCGTGGCTGACGACTGCACGTGCTTCACTGCTCCTTCAAGGCTGCTCGTCCCGAGTAGCCGCCAGGTAACGTGTGGGTGTACCATCATCGTGTTCACCCAAGGTTGTCTCTGGATCCGAAAGGCCATATGATTGATCCGGGTGAAAATCTTTTGGGGCCTTTCCATGATGGCTGGGAATTTGGTGGGGTTTCTTTGGTTGGGTTAGGGTAATGTTTCCTGGTATATCAGGCCCCGGTATCTGTGCTGCAGGTTATCAGAATGTCGCTTACTTATCTGACAGCATGTACTGTTTATTCAGGTTTTGTTTGGAGAGTACTTCTCGTATAGATTTTGTAAAATATTCTTTTCCATTTTGCTTGAAGTGGGTGAATCCATGGAGTTTAGATCCGTTTGCTGTCAAAAAATTGTATGAAACTTGTTTTAGTCTGATTTAAAATTGATAATACCATCATTTTCTCACATGTTCTTGATTTTTTTTGTTTTGTTTGAGGCGATCATAATTACGACTTGATACAGTGGGATGTTATATGGATTCGTAATGTTTGACATCGTGTAATTCGGTTTAAATGTTTTTAGTTGGTCACAGCGCGTTGCTCTGTATTACTTACGTGTTTGTTTGTTGTTGTTTTTTTTACATATTTGAGGTTTAAATATTATTTTGGTAATTTTCGTTCGCCTTGGCAAAGTTTCAAGATTTATGACTCCGAATCCTCGTGTTCCGCCACGTCTCAATGCATTAGTCTAGTCATGTAAATTTCTTAATACCAAGTTGCGAGTCACTATTGAAACAACCGCATTCTTCGCCCTACACTCTGAGTAAATTGGCCAAGGTCAGGGCGCGCAGTTAACCAGTGACCTTGAAGTTTTTTTTTTTAAAGATAACGCGATGGGTCACTTCACGCATTTGTTTTTTTGTTAAATCAGCTGGTACTTTGTGATCGGCATCATATATTGGAGTGTAATCCCGAGTAAAGTAATTTAGAACCAAATATGCATGTTCCTTTAATCGCGTGTTGAGTTGGTGTGTCTTCAGACTACTATTTTGTTGGAAGCGATATAATTATTCTTATGCGAATTAGTGTTGTCATCTGATCAAAACATGTTTCATCTTACGTGTTGATTTAACTGTTGGTTTTTCGGTTTTGTCCTATTTCCTCCCGTCTTTTCTGCTCTCACTTATTTTGACTGGTTTGTACGCCATCTACGTCATCACTCAGTCGCGAATCACGAACTGTGGCAAAAGGCCTACACACCAACGTCCGCGCTCGTATATTGGCATCAGCAAGAGGGAAAGTTTTGCGCAGAGGACCTCGAAATGAATGACGAAACAAAACATAGCCTGCCCATTCCACCTCACGTGACGGCCAGTTCCACCACCGGTAAGTTCGGGTCCGTACTGTTTAGCCCTGCGACATTTTCAGCGTTCACAGTAAGTAGCCTTTATTCTGTGACAAGCAGAATCTGCCCTTCGTGAATCATGTTCCCATTATGTTATACCTGACGTACCTCTAGGGATTTGCGTGCAAAGGCGAACTTGTTTAACGACGTTCACGGATACGCTCTACTTGCATTATTTCATTTCATATCTGGATAACAGTTCAAAAGTACCAGCAGAATCGCTATCAGTGTCCTAGAATTATGACGTCATATCGGTTGATGTCTGCGTCACGTTCTTTAATTCTTCATCTGAACTCGATCGGATAACATTGGCCATGTTTTCGCAGAACGTCCATCTTGAGCGTTTTGAAGTGAGGTTTTGCTTACTTTAATAATGGAATAAAGATTATTGTCTTTCTTTGTGATGCAGAGGACGGGAGTGGATGTAATTGCGTCGTGATATTCACTGAAAATGACCCGAACACCATTGTTTGCGTGGTTTGGGATCAAATTAATTTTCAATCGCCTGTCATAATTATTGGTAATGGTAGCAGATAAACATGCTTTTGGGAGCACATTATATACTAGCAGGGTTTTATAATGTTGTAGATATATCGCGTCCTAACTGAGTTGAGAGAAGGTCAAAACAAATTATCATTTCCCAGTCCTTTTGAAGCACGTGGTAAAAATTTCACAGTCTTACACACATGAGCTATATTTCTGGTACTTTCTCTTGTACACAAACACTTTCTTTCCTTCTGCGCTGTGTAAATGTTTACTTTTTCTCACCACTCATGAACAGATTCCTACTTTATAACTGAGACTTGACACACAGCTCACGAAAGTTTTCATCGTGCTATTAAGACCAGCTTCTTTTAATCTCGAAATAACTATGTTTCTGTCGAAGGAAGTTGGTAGTAGTCTTAAACTCCCTTGCACTCACAGAAGGGTTCCACCGAACTCCAGCTACAAATGAAACATCCATAGCTGGACTGGATACATGACATAATCCAATGTCTCAGCACCTTCCAACTTGTCCACGTGTTTAGTGTTTCTATAGCCGAGTTCTTTCTGTGGACTCTGGGATATCATGCCGTCTGCCTTCAGCACCAGTAGTTGAATAACGAGTTGGAATATATGTTGGATATATATAACAGATATTACTCAAGATGAATTTGATAAGGGTTCATTATCAGTCAAGTTGCATTGTGTTGACATTACGTAAGCTACAGTATCAGATTGATTGTACCATGCAGGCATCAGTGTAGTTCAGTGATCATTTTTTATCTCGTCATGATTAATCTGTCTTATTTTTCTTTGGCCTCCTCAATGATCTTCCACCATCTTTCTCTGTTTCGCGCCGCTACCTTCCAATTCCTGCATCTTGACATCCTTGCATCCTCGCATCCTCCTCTAGTCCATCAACCCATCTAAGCTGATTAATCCGTAACACTGGGTTATTTTTTCCGAAACTGCGGACGCGATAAACCTGCGTGATCTCGTATCTACTAATTATGTCTTGTAGTACTTTCATGTCTTCTTTTTTTTAAACTTTCAGACCCGCTGGTTTACGACGCTGAAGGGCATGGTGTGCCGATGTTACACCTACCATGGCTGTGAGTTTATGCTTCGATTTTGTACAGAATTATCCAAATGTCCCAGCTCGGCTTACGTGTTTGTTAACTCGCCGGATGGAACGACATCACTGTTCAGCAAAGATACCGGACGGCTAGTGGTTACTTTTCGGAAAGAAAACCGGGTTAGTATGCCCTTTATTTTGTGGTGTGATAGATACCTCTTTGAATTACGTTCTTTCATGCTTTAGTGAAATACATACAGGGTTTTCATATTTGTCGTGTTACTATGTTTGTGATTACTTGTTGATTGCTGTACTATTTAAGGGCACTCAAGAAATAGAACGGAACAGTTTGACACCGCTGATGCTAAAGCCTATTGCGTACTCAGCAAGGTGGTTAGCAATCTTGTTTCATATTTGGAAGGTCTTGGGATCAAATCTCAGCCCAGAAACTGGCTAATATGACAGGGTTTTGTGGCTTTCCTCAGTCTGTCTAGGCAAATACCAAGATTATACGGGCATACCTCGGAGATATTGCGGGTTCGGTTCCAGACCACCACATTAAAGCGAGTCACACAAATTTTTTGGTGTCCCAGTGCATATAAAAGTTATGTTTACACTATAATGTAGTCTGTTAAGCGTGCAATAGCATTATGTCTAAAAAAGCAATGCGAGAATTACCAAAATGTGACACACAGACACGAAGTGAGCACGTGCTGTTGGAAAAATGGCGCCGATAGACTTTCTCGACGCAGGGTTGCCACTAACCTTCAATTAGTAAAAAAAACGCAATATCTGTGAAGCGCAATAAAACGAGGTATGCCTGTACCTTTAAGCCACTACCACTTCCATCAGTATCTTTTTCCAACTTGTATTTCATAGTATACTGGCTATGGACTGGACGACCGCAGTTCGACCCTGGACAGGGCAGAGGATTTTTCCCTTACTTCTGTGTCCAGACCACCTCTGGGGATACCATCAGCCCTTCAGACTTTTTCTGATATCTGAATTGTCTTTTACATTTCAGGATTATGACAAGGAAGTGGAGAGAAACTCACATCGATGGTTGGCCCCAAAGGGTTGTTCTCAAAATGCATCCCACCTTAAGGTTCAGCCCCCAGTTTTTGACATATATCTATGTGACAGCTGCGATGGAGAATTTGATTCTTTGAAAGAAGTACAGGTAAATTGTATAAATTTGTACATGGAATTGTTCATTTTAAGTAATGTCATTCGGTTAATTAAAATGTATCTTGCTTCACTGCTTTTGTTGTGTAGCGCATATTTTACATTATCTTGCAGGATGAGTGTTCCCTGCTAGTGGCAACACTTTGCTTACTGAAGTCTTCAGATTAATCTGCCTGTGGGGGGGAGTCCCTGTTTAGGCCCCTTTGGCATTGATCGCTGAGATTTTATCAGTGCTGGGCTCAGTTGTATCTCAAAATTTCATTGTCTAATGCAGAAATTCTTTTTGTCTCATTTAATTTATGTTCAATGTTTTTGTCACTGTGGGGGTCAATTGACTGGTAGTCTCTTAATTGCCTCTTCCATTCTGTCCCATCAAACATCTGAGTTCCCAATACATTTTTATTTCTTCCTGTGTAATATTGGACCTCTTCAGTGTTTTAGGCGACACCTTCCGTTACCGTGCATTTTATGTGTGATAATGAAGTAAGCATAGAAGGTGTAGACAACAATCCAGAAAATATGCGGCATATAGCAAAACCCTTTTTAGAACAGAATCACCAGAAACCCCGATCAGTATTAGCTCAAGTATTGTTTCCAGATAAGAAAGAATTAATGAACAGTTCATGCCCCTTGTATACAAGCAGCCCTATAAATTATTCAAATCACACGTCAGAAAGTCTTAGTCTCTTTTTCTTTTCTTTTTTGACAACAGTCAAATTTGTCGACAGTCGAGTTTGATGTTTTCACATCTATAACAGAAATTTCCTTTTTATACAATCCAGAAAGAGAAGGGAAAAAGACTTAAAAAGGCAATGTGACTATTTTCCGTTTACGTCTTACATTTTATTTCCATATCCACGTTTCAGGAACAGAAATACCTGGAGAGTTTCGAAATGTGGTGTTGGAGGAGAATAGAGAAGATCAGGTGGACGGATCGAGTGACCAACGAAGAAGTATTGAGGAGAGTCAACGAGCAAAGAAGCATTCTGCAGGCGATTACACGAAGGAAAGCTAACTGGCTGGGACATATTATGAGAAGGAACGGGTTACTGAGTGATATCATCGAAGGCCAGGTTGAAGGAAAGCGAGGACTGGGAAGAAGACTGATACAGCTAACCGACGATCTTAAACAAGGAAAGAAGATGACGTTCCAGGAATTAAAGCGAGAAGCCGAGAATAGGGACAACTGGAGAGCTCTTTTTGGGCAGAGCAATGGACCTGTCGTAAGACAGAACACTTAATAATAATAATAATGAAGTAAGTTAAGATCGTCAAAAACTATCATAGTCACCAATAGTCTCGGGTCTGTCGATATATAAATTAAATCTCTCGGTTGTGAGGAAACTTGTCATTTGATTATTTATTGATTTCTACCACACGTCACTGATTTTATCATCAGGATGATTACTGGTTCCTTGTTTACTACTTTCATCCTAGCCTTTATTTCTTTCACTGTCATTAATAAGAAGAAAATGATGAGATTTCAGTCATATACCTGAACCACTTGTGATGACGTCACGTTCCAGAGTTTGTTTTATCAGAAGAATATCTTCATATTACTGAGACAAATTATCTTCTTGCACTAAACCATATTTTATACTGATGAAAGTTACAAGCAAAAATGAAATGCTGATATGAATCAGTTGTTACTGTGTTGAATCTTCATGGTTTCTATGAATTTGATGTAAGGAAGGATCCATGTTGTTGTTTAGAGACATAAATATCCTGTTTCTAGTTTCTGATAACCTTGAAGTGGTAAGTGAGGCAAGACCACCTGTCACATTCATCTGAATGATTGAGTGTAAGAAAACATTGCTGATGTTACCCATCAGCAATGTGAGGGTTAGAAATCACGACTCTCAACATGACACAGTGGTGAAGTGTTTATATTTATCAGACGTGACATTAGAGGTGTACCTTCACTTAATTTTTTGAATGTTTAAAATTATGTTTATCTCCATATTCAATTTTGCATTTCTAGTTTTGTGGTCCATCGTCTGTTACGTTTTAAAGTAATGTCTGCATTATCACCTGTTTCATTTGACGTTGTACTTGCGCACATACGCATATCAAAATCCTGTTCATTCCTTTTAAAGTAAGGAGAGTAGTTTACAAAATGAAGTTGTCAAGAGGAAAGAGTTTTATAACAAAATTTATGTTTGAGAATTTTGTCCTTCCGTAACTATTATGATAGAACTTTTTGTTTGTAACTTCTTCTTTCTCATCTCCCTTTTGCCTTTATAATGTCGGGGTTGATTGCTTCGTCCACCTCCTCCATTCCTTCCTATCCCTAGCTAAGAATTTCACCTACGTTAAACTTTTCCCCTTTGCCTGTCCTATTTCTCTAATAATATCCAAGTAGGTTGTTCTGGTACCCTCAACTCTAGTTTCCAGAAACTGTTTCGTCTCCCATTCGAACACGTCCAAACCATTTCAGTTGTTTTTCTTCCAATTTTGTTTTAAGTGGTTTAATTCCCACCTCGTCTCTAATTTTGGTGTTCCTTGTTGTATCCCTGCGCGTTTTCCCCGTTGATTTCCTGAGACATTTCATTTCCAACGCCATAACTTCAGATGAAAATTTATTTAAGTTTGGCCAGCTCTCGTTGCCATATAATTGTGTTGGTTCTATAACTAATTGGTAGAATTGTTTCTTGGTTTTCATATTCAATACTTTATTTCCAAATATTGTATTGTTTAATTGGTAATAAGCATTATTTGCCTTCTCTACCCCATTTAGGATCTCATTATCAGTTTCTCCATCTTCCGTTAGCATGCGCCCCCCCAATATTCGTAGGTTAATACTTGTTCGTTTGTAACTGCGGATTGATATTGACAGAAACCCTCTAACATGAGTATATAGACGCTGCTTGTTCGATGCTGAAATACATAATTTGAAATTGGTACAAGAAGTTTAAAACACATATTAGTAATAAACCCTTTCTCCATTGATAGGAACACGAGAAAACGTGTGGCAAACGTCAGATTTCTCAAGAGGCGGCTCTTGAGGAACAGCCTCAGCAGCACAACCAGGTGAGTGGAACGCTCGATGCTGATAGAGTCAGCTCTTTCCCAACCAGAGTTCCATGAGAAATTGTGGAATAAATAAATAAAAAAATAAATGCAAATTTTGAAATACCTCAACATTTCCAAATATCCCTCAAAATATCGTGAGAATTTCTGTCCGGCTATTGGCGATACTGGTGTAATCTCTGTGCGCTACCAACTGCCTCTTTGTTTTGTTTTGGTTAGTTTGTTCTTGACAATAATTTAGCAGTAACTGAATTGCGCTCCCTGCTTTTAACTTTTTCTGGCCTGTAAACATTTTCACAGGTAGGGATTTCTCGGGATATATTATGTAACTTGAAGTGTATTAATAATAGTATATCATTGTCGCAGTATGAGTTTTGTTTTACATTCTTGCCTTATATTTGCTTTGTTGCACGAAGGTGGAACATTAATTTGTATTGTAATCTATTTTTTACAGGATTCATTTATGTACTACTTTGGTTTAAATTCAGTCAATTCTGAATATGTACCAAGAGCCATGAGCCCAATGAAAAAGATCAGTTGCAAGGGACGTTATCCTGCCGGTGTAACGTTCACGCGCTGTTGTGGCGTGCCATTCTCGTCACCTCTTGGCATTGTCATACAAAAGAAATCGCGCGTGGCTGCAAGTAATCCACAGGTTAGTTTAATATTACGGTTTTATGATTTGTTTATAGAGTCATTTAGATGCGGACGACAACTTTTCTTTTTAAACATTTGTTAGTTTACTTTTGAGTATATTTTATTTCATTAGTTTCTTGAACTTTATGTAGTGTGTCATTATGCTTTATTTCAAGTGAAGAATACCTTTGGGTGTTTTATATCCATTTGTCACATTTTTCAGCAAAGATTATGTTGTCATGTGGACTATTCTGCCATGTCGTAACTCAAGAATGGTTAAATGGATTTTCATGAAATTTTTTGGTATGGGTATTAGAGACATATTTCAGACACTTGACCAACAGAACTTGTGAAGTAGTTTAATGTGACATGTTGTCATTTTCATTCAAAAAGTAATGAACAGTTTTTTGTCTTGCTCTTCAGTCGTTGACCTGAAAACGTGTAACGCCCTACGAATATGAACGTTTGGAATATTGTCACAATTTTATATTACATGTTAGAAATGTCCAGATGTTCTGAACTTATAATCTGGTATTCCAAACAGAACACAGTGGATTGTAGACTGGTTCTGTTTTCCGTTCTCAGGTGGAAAAGTTGGGGACTATCCATTCAGTTGGGTCAGAGAAAGCTAATCGCAGTCATTGGACAATTTTAGTCGGTCGACAAACTATATAAGCCGTTAGAATCAGAATGGATCTGATTTCTAGGATACATTGTACCTGAAGGTGTTGAAAATTCAGTTTTATTTAATATGAAAGTTACACATATCCATGTTTGCCAGATAACCTCGGCTATTATCGTGCTTTGTAGGTATAAATGTATTTTTTTCACTGTCAATGTTTCTGTTTTGTTTTTTTGTTATATTACCATTTATTCCATGTAATTTAAATTGAAAACAATGCTGCAGTTTAATTTTTTACTGTTTTATGTATTACACATTTTTGGTAGAATATCGTCACAAAAACAAGCTCTTGTGAATGATAATGAAACTTTGGGTCCCATGAAAGGCAGGGAATTTCTAGATTAGATGCGTGAATGTTAGTTTGTCAAGACAGATTTTGACCGATTGATTGATTTTTGTCACAGAATTTTAATTATTCTAAAATGTTTTCAGTGGAGGAGTGAAATGAAGTTGTCATGCGATAGTGTGATGATTTATTAGAAAAATATTATTGCATGATATTACCAATTATATGATAGTACAGTTTAAATTTACTATCATTGTAGGTACTTTTAGATCGAATGGAACGCTACTGCGTTACAAAATCCCTGAGTCCAAGTTGTCGAGTTGAGGACAAAGTTCAAGAAAGTATTGAATGGCCTATCACCTGGAAACCTCCAAACCAAAAGAAAGCACAGAACACCTGGATACATCATTACTGTTTTACAGTAAAGGAGAGTCTTGAAAAGATGAATAGAAAATCATCTGGAGGTATGTACTAGAACTAAAATTTTTCAGTTAGATTATATTTATTAATTAACTGCATAATGATGAGCTTAAAAATCTGTACTCCTCCCCCAAATATTGTCAGGGTGATTAAGTTGAGAAGAATGAGATGGGCGGGGCATGTAGCGTGCATGGATGGGACAAGAGGTGTGCACCGGGTACTGGTTGGGAAGCCTGAGGGGAAGAGACTGCTGGAGAGACCTAGACGTAGATGGGAGGATAATGTCAGGCGGGATCTATGGGAGATAGGCATTAAAGGAGACTGGATTTTGTTGACCCAGGACAGGGTCCGGTGGAGGGCTTCGGTTAATTCGGTGATGATCCTTCGGGTTCAGTAAGCCATCTAGTTGGTTAGTTTCGTTATATTTATTGATATATAAGGATTAATGTATGGAATTTGAGTTTTAATGCTATTGTCATTGTGGGTAATGTCATTGTTTCTGCTGGAAATAAATATTCCAGTTAACAGTTATTAATCGAAGTATTGTGCGTATACGGTGTAGAAGAAACTCTCCAATTGGCAGAAGGAAAATTGTTCTCTGGTTACAAAAAGTGTACAGCTCAGTATGCTTGACGTGGCCAGACTTAGTCTGTCAAGTTTTGTATTTTATTTATCCAAAATAGGTAGTGTCTTTTCACCACATTTAAGGTGTAAACAAAATCATCGATCATATCCAAAATCGTGCTATGTCATTTCGGTGCAGCACTGTTGATGACTGGGTTTTAATTTGTATGATCTGTAGCTTTCGCTGCAACTGAATTCAATGAAATCTTCTCTGACACATCTGATTGCCTGTGAAAACTTCATTGTAATAATTGTTGTCATTATTTTTGGAAGGAGATGGATGATACTGGGAAATCCTTGTGTCACCATGCTTTTTTCATCTTTTTAGGTAAATTGTGTACTAATTAGAATGTCATACCTGCAGTTTGATATATAAATTGTCAGGGCCATCGTACAACATTGTCATTGAATTACGGAGCAGACTTTTGAAAGTTTGTTTTCTTTGCAGGAATGAAAACCTCACTTTTAAAATATCAGGTGGAGTAATTGCAGTCACTTATAATGGAAAAGTCTGTGTATTTCTGACTCACCCTGTATATTTATTATGTATTTCTTTGTTCTTCACAAGTTTTAGGCCCATTTCACAACTAAAATTTTTACTTGTGGCTGTTGGTTTTGCGATATTTGTCTGTCCATTTTCTGCATGTAACAACTTCAGAACTGCCGAATGGATTTTTATTAAATTTGAGATTGGCGTGTTTTCCTAAAATTTCGTTGATGCATTCCAATTTTGGCTGAAGTTAGTAATATCGAACATAAAAATGTTTATGCGCAGTAAAATCCATATACCTAGGAGAATGGCTTTTCTAACACTAATTTTATATTTTTGCTTAACCATTAGATACTAGTGGTAACTGTATGTAACACTGCTATATCGGTTAGTGATTTTTTATTTTCTCCACAGAGTCCATAATTTATTGATGAGTTTTATATGATTCTCAAAATAGACGGTGATTGTTTCCATAAATTGCATTAACCAATTGATCTTTGTATTAGAGATGAGTTGTATATGAACTTATTATTTAAATAATAACTAGATGTTCTTCATTGTCAATGGTTAATAGGGGCAGTGACTATGTCATTATACTTGGAGAAGAAATCACGCTGACTTTTTTTTATTTTTCAGGACTGAATAAGAGGAGTCAAAAACTTCTCTCCATGTGTCGTGATGTTAGAGTTGTTTTAGTACGGCTTACAGAGGATGACATAGCTGAACTTTCAACTAAAGTTCTGACACCAGAACTTGTACCACGAGACAGTGAAAGTACATTTCAGCTTTCAGCATTGCTTTCTAACACTATGTGTGCATATAATACATCTTCGAACATTAAGAACCATTACCCTGAGTCATTTGTGCTGTCACCACAAGCAGTGATTCCAGTTATAGATTTATGTTCTACAGATGAAGAGGATGAATGCAGCTTGGACAAAGTAGCGCATCTGTCATCTGTGCCGTTGCCGAGTGATGAAAATGACCCACTAGTTTTGGATGATGCTAAATATCTCAAACAAAAAGGAGTCAAGGTAAAACCAGTGTTCTGTGATAAGAACAGTGCTCCGAATATAGCGGTTTACCCTTTAGTTCAAACATCCTATGAAACTTGTGCTGATACGGAGATAGGTTCGTGCGTTGATGTTGGTACATTTGCTATGCGGTATTCAAGTGATCGTTCATCGAGGTTCTCAAAACCAGCTCCTCGTGGCTGGAAGATGAAAGTCCGCTTGAAAACTCCACCTTGTCAATCATCGCTCCATTGTAATTCAACAGATATTCCACCACAAAATTTGTCTAGTTCAGAAAGAATCCGTGCAAAGAATTTCAACGTGACGTCTGAAGAAACATTTGATTGTGATGTGGCTGAAGAAATCTGTACTCCATTGCGTCAACTTATTGCAGTAGATTGTCTTAAATTAAAAAATGCGCATGTTCCCCTCGTTAGAGCTAGGATTGATACTCGAGGAAAGGCTCGACCGTCAGTGCCAACCAATACATCTACTTCGTTAAGTAGTTGCTCAACAGGTACTGAAAAATCCAATTCCAAATTCTCATTTCCTCACAGAAAGGAGAAATTGCAGGGTAAGGTGATCAGTACTACTATAGACTCATCTATTTCTGAGTCCAGTGTGGAGTCTATAACTGGTAGTCAGAAATCTCGCCGTTCATTAACATTTCATAAAAAGGTGTGCGGCACATCATCATCTGAAGATTCGTCGCATCGCTGTCAGACGAGTGTTCGCTTATCCTTGCATGAGGATAAGGAACAAATTGAGAACAATTTGTTTAGAACCGTTTCAAATACGTCTATACCAGTTTCCACTAGCAAGGAATGTGTATCGCTTGATGATCATTCAGTTACAACCCTTCCAGGCACAAGAGTGCTTTATCAAACAAAACTGCCCAACACTGCCCCACCTTCCCCATCACCTGTATCGGTATTAGACACTGATGGCAGTATTACAATTGATGCTTCATTGCAGTCTGACGTGACAGACTTTGTAAAAACACACAAATCAGAGTTATCAGTTCGTATAAAGAGGAAACAGTCCCAATCGCAGGACTTCGTGACTCTTTCACCTGCTACGAAGAGGGCGTGTAAACTGTCCCAGCCTGCGGAAGATAGTTACTCTCTTGTTCCTGACCCCAAGAGGCCTAATCTAAAAGTTTACAATGAAACAGTACCAGGAAAGGAATCTACAACACAAGTAAGTACAATTATAATAACTCCTTCACTAGTATCTAATTATTGTCTTGTGGTTTATTTTTGCATGCTACCATAAGTTCTAAAGCTCGTCAGTGTTTGCTTCAGGCGTAAAAGTTCAAATTCCAGAATGTTTTTGTTTCCAGACCTAGCCTAATGGCCTACAGTAGTCAGAACAGACTATACATCTATTTACAGTTCCTCATTTTTATTTTGCAAGATGAGGTGCAGTCACACACACACACACACTCATTCACTCACACTCACTCACTCACTCACTCACTCACTCAAAAGTGACTTTTCCTGTTGCCAAGATCGTGGAACAAACACCAATGTTTAAAAGAAGTGACATTTCATGAAATTAGTATTCATACTGTTGAAAAAAAAAACAGACGGTTTGCAGGACACTTCAGACAGTGACGTATTTGGGATGTCGGTGAAATGGAACGTAGCAGAGCCGCTCCAGAGATGTTTGGCCAGACGTAATTCGACCGTCTATATCCGCCGACTGCGTCAGGATGAGTGCAGGGAACTGAAAGAAGAGGACTCAAGGAAATGATGAGCAGAAGTGGCAGTGCGTTGCGTGGGCAATCGGTTGACGGGAAAGAAATTCGTCCCAAAGTCGGGCGTGTAGCTCTGTTTGCCAAGACTTACGGTACAATTGACTTACCAAATTAATGAGGACAATGTGAAAAATAGAAACATATTCAGTCAGGAAGAATTGCAACAGTTTGGTAGTATGAAAGCTCAAATATATTTAACTCAGAAAATGATAAGCCTTTTTTGTAATTAATGAATGTTTAAACTTCGTTGATTACCAGATTTAAATATAAATGTGCTGGGAGTAAACTTAACTTAACAGAAGCAGATGAGGTTTTAGCACTCCGTTAATTCTTTTGCTTCATGAAAGGTTGAACATTGTCTTTAAAAAATTCTGTTTGGTATATTTCCTTCGAATGTAATGCCACTGACTACAAGACATTCCAAGCTGTTTAAACAAATTGTTCAAATCCAACCCTGTTAACTGGAGGAATTTCATTATTCTAGTCAGTTCATGTTTCAGAATTTGATAACATTAGCGTGAAACAATTTTAGATGTGAACTGTTAGCGTCAAACAAGAATTTGTATTTGGATAGATTATGCAAGGGCACTTTGAACACTGTTTAAATGGAGTTTTGTGGGCTGTGTGACTTGCTTCCATATTCTTTCGGTGCTGATCTAAAAGGCTGCAGATTTGTTCTGAATTCTTATACAAATTTTTATGGTGAACAGTTTTATTGCGTGTCCTGTCATAATACCCATGTTGATTTTATTATATGCCTCAAATGGCATAACCTCCATACCACATTTTAGCCAGATCTGTTCAATAGTTTTCTAATCATACGGACAGACAGATGTGATCAGCCTTATATGCACTAATTTCATGCACGTTTTGATAAGAATGCATAATTAACCTGGCTGGGTCGAAAGTTACAAAGTGCTGTTTGAACTAAATGAGAATGTTTTGTTGGTGCTATACACCAGACCAACTGAATTTTATTTTTTGGTGTTGCTGTGTTAAGTTGCGTTGCTGAACATTTTATATATATATACCTTTCTTAAATTACTGATGATCATTCTGCACTTATTTTATTTGTTGATGCATGCATATATTGGCTGAATCAGCCATCAGTGCACAATTCTGTATTATTATAATACTGACTGGACTGCATAATAAGAGCTAAATATGAATGCAGTTAAAATTTATCTGCTAACAGGAATGGCTGTTAGTGTGTCATTTAAAGGTACATAAAACCCAACAGTTTGATGCTAATGGTCCTGATATTGATGTTTGCATACTTAATATTATTTTAATCCACTTCTTGAATTTTTGTGAAGCAAATTTGCAGTATTGCAAATATCGGTGCCTCTGATTACCGTGTGAAACACGTATATGATTGAAGTGCCAGAGATTTGAATCCCATAAGATCTCATGAAGGTGTGTGTTTCAACTGTGGGATTTATGTTGAACTATGGGATCAAGTTTTTGAGTGTTGCATATAAAAATCTTTTTAAAATAACCTGGAATGTTATGTTTATTCTCTTGCTTTAGTTTTGACACAACTAGCGAAAGTGCATGAAGTGTAAGAAAGTAAGTTTTGTTCAGTTCTGATTATCATGTGTACCTTTTTTTTTGATTTTGATCAGAATTAAGAACATCCTAATTCGTAAATCATATTAAACATTAAACTGGTGCTTATTTCTTTGTAAAGGCTTCAAAGAGTTCTTTTGTGTTAATTAACACCAGCTGTTGATTGTACCAAACATCAGTTTTCCAAAGAATACCTTTCTTTGGAAAATTAATTAGTGTAGTGTTCTTGTTAGATAATTAAGTTCTATGTACCTTTACATTTGTAAGAACCTTGTGTATATTGTGCATAATAAATTTGTCTTAATGAAACAGTGAATGCATTAATTTAAATAATACAGCTGATCAGATACATCTCTTCAGATGTTTGTTTTATTGAAGTATTGTATTAATCTTTGGTCTTTATTAGTGTCATTTTAATTGTCTCTCTGGCTATGTCGTTGATTGAAATGTTGTAGTTTTATGTCATGTTCAGGGCGTATTAATATTTTAGTTGAAGTTCACAGTACTCTCATAGAGGAAAGAAGTGTTTATTTTAAATTATATTATAGTTTAGGTTTTGTGCGTTGCGATTATGTTAAGTTCTACACTTCTCCCTGCATGACTGAATGGACCTAAAGACTCTTGAATACTTAGTGGAACAAGGTGATTGAATAGATTGGGGATGTGCTTTTAAACTCCATTACTTTTAAGATTGTGCGCTTTGGCACAAATTTGCATACATTTGTTTCATCTCTTTAGTTTTACAAAAAAAATACTTAAATGAAACTGGACTGCAGTATTATTATATGATCTCTGATTTCCTGCTAGATATGTAGGATTATTCAGGAAATTAAAGCGGTAATGTGATCTCCAATTGTCCTCGCACAGTCTGTAACATGATATTCTCAAATATTTGTAAAGAGGAACGTGCTAAGCTAACATGGAATACTGTAATCAGTTGACGTGCTATAAAATGTTTGTAAGTTAACCATTTTTCATTGTAATATTTTGAGATTGCTCCAGAAGTAAAATCCCTTGTATTTAAATTTTGTTATGTATTTGTCAATATATTTAAATATGCACTTGTTAACCACTTGATAAAGATATCTGATGCAGTCATTGAATTTGATTCTGCATTGCCCCTGTATACTCTGTAGTGATCTAGAATGATTGAACATTAAGGCCTTTGACCATTGTTTGTTTATATAATTTGATTTTATTGAATTGTTGGGAAAATTATTTAAATTTTCTTATGTAATAAAAACAAAAATGTATCTGCTGTCATATCTCTGAACTTCTGAAGATTGTTATAATAAATTATACCAATTTTTTTGAATTAGATGTGGTTCTGTTTCGAACAACTCGATCAAGGGATAATTTTGTTAAGAAAAATATGTAAGTCCACTTCACACTTGTATCAGAAAAAAAAATGCTGTAATAGAACAGTCTTAGCTGAGTGCCAACCTACAGCTGCAGGAATTTTACCAACTTCAGACAATATTTGAAACAAAACGATGTGATGGTTGGAGGATGTAAATACTTTTAGAAGGGGCTTGTTAAGTGTAACATCATTTGTGTGGTATTTATACACGTGATTGAATGAATGAGGGCTGGAAAAATAACATCCCTAGTATCGCGACTGTGTAAAATTTACTCTGTAGTCTGATGATATTGTGTAATGTAGTTCATTGGAATGGTAAAATTGCCACTTGAATAGTTTTTCTTTCTTTCTGTAGTTGTCTTGTTTTTCTGATGGGTGGTTCTGTTGGAGTGTGTACAGACATGAGACTTAATTGTAACTGTCGGTTTTTCTGATGGGTGGTTCTGTTGGAGACTTAATTGTAACTGTCATTATGTAAAAGGTAGGCCAAGGAGAGGCTGAAGATATAATTTTGAGACTGATCTGTGAAGACAAGATGAAGGAAACAACAAAGCGAGAAAGTATGGTTGTTTCATGTCTCAGAAGATTTTGATTTAGAACTTTGTGATACAGCAGGAGGTTTCATGCTGCATTATATGAATATTTGTGTCAATAACAGTTGGTGATTGTACAGTTTTTGAAGTGTTGCACATAGCAAGGTACCTTTCTAAAAACTGAATATTGTGAATATACGTGTCTTCAATATTTTGTTTGAATTTAGTGTATGTAAGAAGCTAGTCAGGCTAATTAAAATGTGTTTAAGTGAAACCTCTAGCCAGATTCATGTCAGTAAACATTTGTCTGATACATTTCCTAGACAGATTGGCCTGAAGCAGGGAGATGCTCTATTGCCGCTGCCTTTAAATTTTACCTCAGAATAAGCCTAGGAAAGTCCAAGAAAATCAGGGCAGTTTGGAATTGAATGGGACACATCAGCTTTTGGTCTATGCTGATCATATTAATTTTTCAGGCAAATACAGAAACACTAGGGCTAGTAGGGATGTTGGTCTAAAAATAAATGCAGAAAAGACAGAGTATATGATCATGTCTTGGCATCAGAATTCAGGACAAAACCAGGATATTGCGACCGAGTTATCATCATTTTTTCTTTTTATTTGGGAGGTCCCAGGTTCATGTCTCAGTCTGGAGACCAGCTACCTTGACTGAGGTTTTCGAGGTGTAAGATAAACCACAAATAAATAAAATGTGAACTTGGTTATGTCCCAGCTCCAGACATGTCAATAATACATAATTTAGTTTGTACAATTTTTAAGTTTCTGTGGTGTAATTTATGTGCATTGAATCTAAGTGTTTATTATTGGCATGGAAATATTCCCCTTTTTTGTTATAGTCACATGAATTGTTCCCCTTACCTCTGTATGACAATGTTTTGCCTCATTCTCGTGTTGAGGAAGCAATGTTGGTTTAGTAGGATTTCAGGTTCTCGCAGTCTCCAGTATGAAGATGGCTGTCTTTTGGGTTGTAGTAGTGTTTTGTTTGGTAGAGGTGTACTGATGTTTCATAGGTGCCAGGCATCTTCAGTGTTGGTGTAGTTAATACTACTCGTTAGTCATTGGTAGTATTTTATGTTTCCAGTTGTATTTTTAGCAGTTGTACCAGGATTTGATGTGAATAAGTTGTATTTGTTATGCTGTGTTGTTGAGTGCAATGAGTTTGGCTTCCCTCGCAAACAGGGTGAGGCAGACAAGTGTGAACTGCAGCCGGCATTTTGGGAGAAGGATCTATTGAAGTACTACTACACACATGTTGCATCACAAGCATCCCCTGAGGTACTGCGTGCCTGCAGCCTTCAAAGACTCGAGAATCGTGAAGGATTTGTCTTGTAGTACCGTGAGTTTCGGAAGTGAATTTAGGTTTTTGTGCTGTGAAATCGCGTCTCTGAAGGAGTTCCTATTAGGTAAGTTACAAAAGTTAGACTTAACAGTCACGTGGTGCATATAAGGTCATTTTTTCGCAGTACTGCGGTGTTAATTTTGTTTCATTAGTGGGCAGTAGAGAATCCTCCACCGTGCAGAATGCCACGAATGATTGAGCCAAAGGTGTCAGAATTGTGAACAATATTTTTATTAATAATGCTTATTTACTATTCTGCAACTCTTAATGGAAGGCACAGAAAGTATAAGTTTTTAATGAGCTGTTCAGTAATATTTAGTGTTGTGTATAGCAAGCACTGTTGATGTTTGATACTTTCAATGTGTTATATGCAGCCTGATTGGAGTTTGGCTGCACTAATGCCATGAAGTATACATGATTTTGTAGTTTAGAGTGCAGCCAGTGTGATTAGAGCTTGCTTAAGTTTTTTTCAGAATTTCTTTTAAACAGTTTGATTTTTAATTGGATTTATTGGTATTCCTTCCAGTCTAATGTGTATATTAAACATTATTGTTTGTTTTGTGGACGTTTCTTGTTGAGTTTACGTTTCACCCATTTTTTAGCAGTCAGTTTGGATGTCTTCATATTTTTATTCATGTTGATATGAAAATTATTATATAAGAAAAATTTGATCATTTCAGCTACCTTCAATTTTCAGAGTTTATTTTATAGAGGGTTTACATATTTAGGTCTATTTTTGCATTATAGATTATTTTATCTTATAACTAAATTCCTTTTAAACCAAATATTGAACAAGAGTGAAAAAAACTTCTTGAACCACTACTACAATATGGATTATGCAGTCAGATGGAAGGTTGTGTTGTTCTATGTGAATTATGTACATACCAAAATTTACCATATTCCAGACTGCGTAACCACTGACAGTTTAATATAAGCTTATGCTCGACACAGAATTTTTTATGCTTTGCTTAATTTTCAGTTAAATTACAATTCAGTGTAAGTTCATTCACATGAATACTTTCCATCGTTGAGCAAGAATGTGTATGTTCATTTAAAAAAGACATTTGTGAGGTAAGTGTTGTATAACTTGTGTTGTTGGTACAATCGTACAGACTTTTGACAAGATACATAATAATTTACATCATATTTATATAAATTCTAGACACTGTACAGAAAATGTTGACAACACATTTCACAGTTTGTTGTAATGCAGTAAACATCGGTGTATTGTTCCAAATATGTAACTGAAGGTTGATTTTTCTGAGAAATGATTCTGACAGCAAAAGTGTGTGAATTTGGTGTCTAATTTCAATGATCTCAGCCTGCATATTTATACACAGATTGGTGTAGAAATCAGGACATTAATTAAATGCAAATTAATATGCACTTTCTTGTGATTTTTACATTTAATTTAATTACTCTTTATGTCTGCCCTTACATAATTATTCACTATGGCTGCCTTTCATTCTGATACAACTTTGTGGCTTGGGATAATGAGTGTGTCTTGACTTTATATCATTATGTATATATCTATAATTTGGTTTTAGAATATGATTGTATATATGTGCTAATAATTTCATCATCTTCACTGTTATATGTTATAGAAATTACAGAAATGTAGAAGTGCTGAGTTGACATAAATTTAAAGTTGATAGAAGATTTCATAAAACTGTTTTATCTTTTGCATTGGGCCCTCAATAACGATGGATATGGAAATAATTAAATTGTGGATGATAGCTTAGGAAGTTGAAATATATTGAGGGCCCACTGTATAATAAAATAAGAGTCTCTAAAGTAACTCAGTTATTTTCTTATTATATTCATAATTGTTGAAAGACTGTGTTTAGGAGCTATATGGAAATTATGCATATGGGTTGCAGTTTTTTTTTTTGAAGTTCATGGAGACCAATGAATATGGAAGAAGAAATCATGTTATTTTTTTGGTAATATCTATGCATTTTCCTGGAACAAATAGAGGTTCTTATTTTTGGTGGAACCAAATCCTTACCGTATGAATCAAATGAGAGGCTTGTTAAATATAGTGCATTTTTACTAATGCTTATATCTGAGATATTGAAATTATGAGATATTAAGAAGAGTATTTGATCTGGGAGTTTTAGTAGTAGTTATGCCATGCACAGGAAGGTTTACATCGTGTAAGACATTTTATTGTTATAAAAGTCATTGATTTTTTTTTAATGGATTAGCAATTTTCTTTACACTTTCTGTATTTCTTTGTGCCGAATTTACATATGCTCAATCATATTATATTATGGGCTTGCTGCAAAAAGCCTCTCTTCAGAGAAATAATGGGTTTTGTCTATTCAAAATAGCATTTTCAAGGCTTTTTTTATTGTACAAAAGTCGACAATAAAAACTGACGATTCAATGAATATTTTTGTGGATCCAACCAACCAAATTCTTTTGGACAACTTGCCTGACGGGATAACCTCCCATCAGCAGCAACAGATCCCAGTTTGAATGTTTGAGGCTCCCGCCAGGACGTAACCCTGTTAGCGATAGCAAAATTTCCGTTTTTTTTATATTAAGACCGTTTACCATTTCCAGCAATGCGCCTTGTGCACAGGAATGGTTTCACCTAGGAAGGGACGATGCTTGCGTTAGCGCAGGCCTCCGCCCTTAGTTAGCTGTTTGGTTGGTTTCAATATTTTTGTGCTTGCATTTTTTTAGTTTAGTTAGTAAAGTTGGCAACAATGAAATGACTTAACTGAGGTTTGGTAGCCAAATGTTTTGAGTTAGTAATAGATGTTATTTGCAGTATGTCATAAAATAATAAAAATAGAAAAAGGATATACAAGTTACTCCACATTAGGAACTATTTTCCTTGGCAGTCTTCTCTCACCCCAAGTGTCTACATGACGTGTAGCGGGACAGTTTGACTTTACTTTTGCCAAATCCAGACCGGTTGTACAGCATGGATTCCTGTTCACCATGTAACAGGTATGCTTTTTCATGCAAATAAATTTGCCCTTATTAAAAATTTGACCTTGTAGGTGCACATGGGAACAGGATTTTATTTTTACGTTTTCGTAATCAGGGATCAAGACCAGGGGTTCTCACCATTTTTTGCTGCTGTACCACTAATTATAATTTAACACATTAAATGTAACACTAACCAAATGCGTTCAGGGAAAACTTATATATGTTAACATTATCTTTTGATTTTGTTACTGGTACGCATACCATTGGTTGGAAACAAATATAGGGGTGCGATAATAGTTGGTTTTATTACCGACTAGGCTATTGCTATCAACTAAAACATTAATATTCTCGACAAGAAGATGGTAGTAGGATCAACGTACGATTATTGTAACTTTCAGTTGTTTACGTATGATATGTGTGCTGCAGTTGGGTGGTTGCAGTGGTTCAACATAACCTGAATTTTATTGAAATTTTATAGTTTTGCTGTACGGATATTTATATGTATGGTATGAAGTACATTTGCGAATAGAACTCAAAATGATGGGAATTCCTATTCAAGTAGCAGTTCGGGTAAGATTAGTTGCTATGTTAACTTAGATTTACATATTAAGAATTCTGATCCACAAACGTATTTAATGAATGAAGAGTATATGTAAGTGGAAAAGCACAACATTGGACGAAGAGTGTTTAAGTAAACATTCAGGCTAGTATATATGTCATTATTAATAATTCTTGTAGTTTAATTTTATTATATTCTGTTCTTCAAAGTTTTGTACACACCACACACTGAACTAGAATTTTGGCATAAGTCATTTTAATATATAAGGTTCCTTGGATTTAACATATTTACTTAAAGCCAAGAAATACCAAATACAGTATAGGTATGAAATGATAGTGTCTTCTTGATATATTTTAACAAGACAGAAAGGTGTAATCTATACCAGATTACTCATAGTTTCCGCATGCATCTTGTGCACTGTTTCTTTCTGAATGTTGACTAGCTGAGCGATTGTTGGTGTTTCAAGACTTCTGATTGGAATTAGTCAGTTATTTCTGTTGGTTTTTGTTTTTTATTTAATATTTTTCTGAATTGTATTTTTTTCAGGTGCGTCCGTTGCTGCCTACGGACAGGCTACATGACGTTGTTTGTGTTGATAGTCTTCCATATGCTAACCAGATTGTTCTGGGGAACCAGAAATGTTTCACTGTAAATTATGCATTGCCCATGGATTGTTCCCAAAGTCAACTTTTTATCACTACAGTATACCCTCTCATTTATTGCGTTCTGGAAGGTAATATAAATATCATAAAGCAAAGGTGGTATTCATTATGTTAGTTTTAGAGTTTAATATATTTTCAAGTCAACATATGTCTCGCTATTCATATTTTTATTTACAGTATTGCACATATACCCTGATAACTTGTGACTAAAAGACTTGGATAGTTTTGAGTTTTGCCTGCATAAAGATTCCAAGCAATTATGTGCTATTATATGCATTTAATTTGGCAATATTTGAGTAAAGTTGCATTCAAAATAGGCGTAAATAGTAAAATATGTTACTTATCTATATAACATAAACTAGTTGTACATAAGTTATTTGCAGTATTCTGCAAACATTTAAGAGCTTTTGTTTTATTTATATTTTGTTTTGGTAAGTTGTGAGATGACTGAATATAGTTGCAGTGATGTGACGTGAGTGGTAGAAGGATAGTGTAAATTGGAAAAGTGTACTTTTGTCTAAACACAAGTTAGGTTAGGTTCATATAATTTTCATTGGACAGGGGCAAAGTATCTTTCATAACTCTAGTTTAGATTTACAAGGGGATCCGGTTGATTATTACCCTCTAATTTGGCTCCAGTACTTTAGTATGGCAGTAACATTTTACAGCCTCCATGGTTGTTGGTGCTTGGTGATTGAATTGAAAAGAGAGAAAAAACATGCCTGCTTGGGAACAGAACACAAGTCGCCTGCTCGTAGGCTGAACTGAACTATAACAGCAAACTGAAAGAATGATTCTTCTATTGAATTTTTAAAGTAACAGTGAATAATGTATTAAAAATAAAATTGTGTATTACAGAGGAACAGTGAGGTGTCTATGCCTGATATTTTGGCCAAGAAATCGTGAATAATGTATTAAAAATAAAATTGTATATTACAGAGGAACAGTGAGGTGTCGATGCCTGATATTTTGGCCAAGAAATTAGGAGGGTGCACTGTTGTATGGCAAAACTGGAGCTGGATTGGAGGGTAACAATTCACTGTACCCCCTAGTTCGACAGCATTAACTTATAGAAGTTAATTTTATAACAAAATATATGTATTATATTTAAAATATTGGTAATGATATTTGAGTTGTGTGTTAGTTATAGTGTAATGTGTTAGGGACTTTATGATTAGTGTCAAGCACAGAAGTCTCTGAGTGAAGTTTTTTTTGGTTTCTCCAGGCTCTCTAGGTAGATTTTGTCCTAAAAATAGACCATGACCAGTTCCTTTTTTCTCCTTTAGAGTTTACAATTTGCAGCTTTCCTCCCACTTAACATTATGTAATGTCTGCAGTTGAGGAATCATATTTAAATAAACTGAGATATAAACAAACCAGAAGTTTTGCAAATTTTTTTCTTCACAATTGACCTGACGTTTTCCATCCTTGTGAGTTCTTTTATAAGGGATGAAAAGAGTTGAAAGGTAAATTGCAATTTTCGATCTAATGCTGAATTAAGAGAAAGTTACTAAACTTTCTTTGAGCTAATATAGCATGGGACATACATACAAATTAATATTTTGTGGATGATTGAATGATTCTGTATCAACTGCTTTGAATATCATTAAGTTGAGAGAATCATGTTTTGATTCATGGGCAGAATTGGAAGAGGAACACGTTATAGTCTGTCTCAAGTTTGTATCCCGATGCTTACGTTTTAGGACTCGCTCATTTCTGTTGCAGGGTATGACATATCGGTGATTGCGTATGGCCAATCTCGTTCAGGGAAGACATATACCATATTTGGTCCTGGTCTGCATTGTGCTTTAAGTGAAACTGAATATGGCGTTATTCCTAGGGTAACTAGAGAAATCTTCAGTCAACTGACGGTGAGTATCATTCATGCAATTGGTAATCTGTTTGTTTGTTTGTTTTTCCACAACTTATTATTAATGAATCACCCTTAGTCGACTAGTGATTAGCGTGCTCGCTACTGGACCCAAGGTTCACTGGTTCAATCCCAGCTGAGGTCAATGGTTTTTTAAGGGTGATAAAAGTCTGTAGCACAACTTCCTTCAGAGGGGAAGTAAAGCCAGCGGTCCCATGTCGTAGATTTACGGCACGTAAAAGAACCTTACGAGCGTGATACGAGATGTTTCGTAAGCAAAATTCAGCGGCCATTTCTCACCCAAGTCTCTCCTGATTCACTACTAGATGGCTATAGCAGACAAATCAGGATTGAGTAGAAGTTGTGCAGAGGCAGTGGGCTGGTCACACACTACTCATAAATGCACACTTCAAAAGACCAGGAATCTTCGTAAGTCGGGAGGTCATGGCCCGAAAACGGGCCAAAGCACAATAGATGATGTTATTAATGAAGTGCATTTACTACTTTATTTATGCTTTAATTATTCTAACAAGACTTTTCCGTGGGGTAAATTATGTGGGATCCAAAGTATTCGTGAAAGTTTTGTGTTGTCCATTAGAGAGTACCGTTGTTTTATAAGTATTTTCCATTTATTTTTTTAGCAAACTCCTGGAAGAACATTTAAAGTAACAGTGTCATTTATTGAGATTTATGATGAAGGAATTAGAGATCTTCTGAACACAAGCCAATTTAAGAAAAAAGTAATGATTTTAGAGAATTCAGAGGTAAGTGTCACAGGGTTATGAAAGTTGACGGACTTTTCATGCCTTATACGATATAACAGTAAAATTATAGTTTTATATATTTTAATCTTCATGTTTGTGGAACAGAGGCGTGATAATAAAAGATTTAGAACCGAATGATGGAAAACAGATATTCTTCTTAACATCCTTTCTCAGAAACCCTCGTCTGTGTTCTTCCTTAATATCAGTGGCCAAATTTCACACTCATTTAAAACAATAAATATAGTACGCGTTTTGTATGTCATAATTTTAAAAGAAGATATAAAACTTAATTGTGCTTTCTTTCAAGGGTACGTCAGTTGTTGTTGGGGCTGAAGAAATTGAATGTCAAAGTGTTAGTGAAGTATTTAATTGCTTGCATATAGGAATGAGTAACAGACAAGTAGGATGGGCCACAGATCAACAGCAACCATCTCGTTCCCATTCATTATTCACGTTAACTCTTGAGCAGCAGTGGAGTGTTGGTAAGTATAAAAAAAACCATCAGCATTATTAAGCAATTTATTTAGTTGACAGCAATAATTCAATTAATGTTCAGTATGAACATTGAGCAGTATGAAATGTACGTCAGGCCCACTTGGATTTTGATCTCAGAGTGCTGTTAATACACAGCTTCCTTATATCCTGAATTTAGAGCAGTCACTGTCTTATTTCTGCATGAATTATGAATTAGCGCAACAGCCCGAAGTTGAGCCTTGGTCTCCTCCCATATAGGAGGTTTCTCGGTCTTCGAAGTGTGCATTTATGAGTAGTGAGTGACAAGCCCACTGCCTCTCCACAATTTCTACTAAGTATTACCTCGTGAAAATTATATATTTTACTCTAAATGTGGAAGACGTCAAGGCAGTTAAGTTATGTGCTTTTACAGCTTGAAAAATCATCTGTATTTCTGTATTAATTGTATGCGACTTATTTTGCAGATAACGTTGTTTATCATACATGTTCGAAAGCTCAGTTTACTGATCTTGGTGGCTCAGAGAAAACAGTTTTAATAGAAAATGGTGGTCATTTCACATCAAAATCAGTTCAACTGGATTATGGATTGGTAGCTTTGGGGAATGTTGTTTCCGCACTAACTGAACCGCATTGGCAGCATGCGCATGTCCCCTATATGCAGTCCGTGTTAACAAGACTTCTTAAAGTGAGTAAACAAAACTATTGTGGTGTGATTGTGTTGAACTTTTGTAATCTGGTGGTATCAAACTAGATTTGTTTTCAAAAGACCCCTAAATTCATTCCCAGTTACTACCACAATACATAGAAAAAAGTTAATATCTTCATCTCCTTCTTCTATGGCTCTCTGGTCTGTATTCGGTCCATGGCCTCCTCAATTCTCCTCTTCATTCGGTCCTCTGCTAGGTCCGTCTGTCTGAGGCTTTGATTGAGGTTTCAAAACATCTTCCTTTTTAAGGTGCAAGGTTGTTAGCCTTG